GTAGATTTTCAAAATCAGCGTTTCGAGCAATGCAGTAGGCTCATATAGGTGGAAAAAATATTTTTTTCCTGATTGCCCTAAAAATCCCAAAATAATCATAGACACTAATTCAGACCCATAAAGAAATAATTTGATGTCAGATTTGATAGATAACTCTCCCTGTAGATTTTCAAAATCAGCGGTTCGAGCAATGCAGTAGGCTCATTAGGTGGAAAAAATATTTTTTTCCTGATTGCCCTAAAAATCCCAAAATATTCATAGACACTAATTCAGACCCAAAACGAAAGAATTTGATGTCAGATTTGATAGATAACTCTCCCTGTAGATTTTCAAAATCAGCGTTTCGAGCAATGCAGTAGGCTCATATAGGTGGAAAAAATATTTTTTTCCTGATTGCCCTAAAAATCCCAAAATAATCATAGACACTAATTCAGACCCATAAAGAAAGAATTTGATGTCAGATTTGATAGATAACTCTCCCTGTAGATTTTCAAAATCAGCGGTTCGAGCAATGCAGTAGGCTCATATAGGTGGAAAAAATATTTTTTTCCTGATGCCCTAAAAATCCCAAAATATTCATAGACACTAATTCAGACCCAAAACGAAAGAATTTGATGTCAGATTTGATAGATAACTCTCCCTGTAGATTTTCAAAATCAGCGGTTCGAGCAATGCAGTAGGCTCATATAGGTGGAAAAAAATGTTTTTTTCCTGATTGCCCTAAAAATCCCAAAATATTCATAGACACTAATTCAGACCCATAAAGAAAGAATTTGATGTCAGATTTGATAGATAACTCTCCCTGTAGATTTTCAAAATCAGCGGTTCGAGCAATGCAGTAGGCTCATATAGGTGGAAAAAATATTTTTTTCCTGATTGCCCTAAAAATCCCAAAATATTCATAGACACTAATTCAGACCCATAAAGAAAGAATTTGATGTCAGATTTGATAGATAACTCTCCCTGTAGATTTTCAAAATCAGCGGTTCGAGCAATAATGCAGTAGGCTCATATAGGTGGAAAAAATATTTTTTCCCTGATTGCCCTAAAAATCCCAAAATATTCATAGACACTAATTCAGACCCATAAAGAAAGAATTTGATGTCAGATTTGATAGATAACTCTCCCTGTAGATTTTCAAAATCAGCGGTTCGCAATGCAGTAGGCTCATATAGGTGGAAAAAATATTTTTTTCCTGATTGCCCTAAAAATCCCAAAATATTCATAGACACTAATTCAGACCCATAAAGAAAGAATTTGATGTCAGATTTGATAGATAACTCTCCCTGTAGATTTTCAAACTCAGCGGTTCGAGCAATGCAGTAGGCTCATATAGGTGGAAAAAATATTTTTTTCCTGATTACCCTAAAAATACCAAAATATTCATAGACACTAATTCAGACCCATAAAGAAAGAATTTGATGTCAGATTTGATAGATAACTCTCCCTGTAGATTTTCAAAATCAGCGGTTCGAGCAATGCAGTAGCTCATATAGGTGGAAAAAATATTTTTTTCCTGATTGCCCTAAAAATACCAAAATATTCATAGACACTAATTCAGACCCAAAACGAAAGAATTTGATGTCATATTTGATAGATAACTCTCCCTGTAGATTTTCAAAATCAGCGGTTCGAGCGCAATGCAGTAGGCTCATATAGGTGGAAAAAATATTTTTTTCCTGATTGCCTTGAAAAACCCAAAATATTCATAGACACTAATTCAGACCCAAAACGAAAGAATTTGATGTCAGATTTGATAGATAACTCTCCCTGTAGATTTTCAAAATCAGCGGTTCGAGCAATGCAGTAGGGCTCATATAGGTGGAAAAAATATTTTTTTCCTGATTGCCCTAAAAATCCCAAAATATTCATAGACACTAATTCAGACCCATAAAGAAAGAATTTGATGTCAGATTTGATAGATAACTCTCCCTGTAGATTTCAAAATCAGCGGTTCGAGCATTGCAGTAGTCTCATATAGGTGGAAAAAATATTTTTTTCCTGATTGCCCTAAAAATCCCAAAAAATTCATAGACACTAATTCAGACCCAAAACGAAAGAATTTGATGTCAGATTTGATAGATAACTCTTCCTGTAGATTTTCAAAATCAGCGGTTCGAGCAATGCAGTAGGCTCATATAGGTGGAAAAAATATTTTTTTCCTGATTGCCCTAAAAATACCAAAATATTCATAGACACTAATTCAGACCCAAAACGAAAGAATTTGATGTCATATTTGATAGATAACTCTCCCTGTAGATTTTCAAAATCAGCGGTTCGAGCAATGCAGTAGGCTCATATATACCAAAATATTCATAGACACTAATTCAGACCCATAAAGAAAGAATTTGATGTCAGATTTGATAGATAACTCTCCCTGTAGATTTTCAAAATCAGCGGTTCGAGCGCAATGCAGTAGGCTCATATAGGTGGAAAAAATATTTTTTTCCTGATTGCCTTGAAAAACCCAAAATATTCATAGACACTAATTCAGACCCAAAACGAAAGAATTTGATGTCAGATTTGATAGATAACTCTCCCTGTAGATTTTCAAAATCAGCGGTTCGAGCAATGCAGTAGGCTCATATAGGTGGAAAAAATATTTTTTTCCTGATTGCCCTAAAAATCCCAAAATATTCATAGACACTAATTCAGACCCATAAAGAAAGAATTTGATGTCAGATTTGATAGATAACTCTCCCTGTAGATTTTCAAAATCAGCGGTTCGAGCATTGCAGTAGTCTCATATAGGTGGAAAAAATATTTTTTTCCTGATTGCCCTAAAAATCCCAAAATATTCATAGACACTAATTCAGACCCATAAAGAAAGAATTTGATGTCAGATTTGATAGATAACTCTCCCTGTAGATTTTCAAAATCAGCGGTTCGAGCATTGCAGTAGGCTCATATAGGTGGAAAAAATATTTTTTTCCTGATTGCCCTAAAAATCCCAAAATATTCATAGACACTAATTCAGACCCAAAACGAAAGAATTTGATGTCAGATTTGATAGATAACTCTCCCTGTAGTTTTTAAAATCAGCGGTTCGAGCAATGAATTTGATGTCAGTTTTTGATAGATAACTCTCCCTGTAGATTTTCAAAATCAGCGTTTCGAGCAATGCAGTAGGCTCATATAGGTGGAAAAAATATGTTTTTCCTGATTGCCCCTAAAAATCCCAAAATATTCATAGACACTAATTCAGACCCATAAAGAAAGAATTTGATGTCAGATTTGATAGATAACTCTCCCTGTAGATTTTCAAAATCAGCGGTTCGAGCAATGCAGTAGGCTCATATAGGTGGAAAAAATATTTTTTTCCTGATTGCCCTAAAAATCCCAAAATATTCATAGACACTAATTCAGACCCAAAACGAAAGAATTTGATATCAGATTTGATAGATAACTCTCCCTGTAGATTTTCAAAATCAGCGTTTCGAGCAATGCAGTAGGCTCATATAGGTGGAAAAAATATTTTTTTCCTGATTGCCCTGAAAATCCCAAAATATTCATAGACACTAATTCAGACCCATAAAGAAAGAATTTGATGTCAGATTTGATAGATAACTCTCCCTGTAGATTTTCAAAATCAGCGGTTCGAGCAATGCAGTAGGCTCATATAGGTGGAAAAAATATTTTTTTCCTGATTGCCCTAAAAATCCAAAATATTCATAGACACTAATTCAGACCCATAAAGAAAGAATTTGATGTCAGATTTGATAGATAACTCTCCCTGTAGATTTTCAAAATCAGCGGTTCGAGCAATGCAGTAGGCTCATATAGGTGGAAAAAAATATTTTTTTCCTGATTGCCCTAAAAATCCCAAAATATTCATAGACACTAATTCAGACCCAAAACGAAAGAATTTGATATCAGATTTGATAGATAACTCTCCCTGTAGATTTTCAAAATCAGCGTTTCGAGCAATGCAGTAGGCTCATATAGGTGGAAAAAATATTTTTTTCCTGATTGCCCTGAAAATCCCAAAATATTCATAGACACTAATTCAGACCCAAAACGAAAGAATTTGATGTCAGATTTGATAGATAACTCTCCCTGTAGATTTTCAAAATCAGCGGTTCGAGCAATGCTGTAGGTATATCATATAGGTGGAAAAATTTTCGAATCTACATCGCTGAATACGAATTGACAGATGTCACTGACGGAACAATGATGGAAATAGATTCATCCCTCACAGAACCATGGTTGTGAACGATTTTCCGACGAAACAATTGAAGAGTGAGCCACTTTTGACATATATGGAAGAGATAGTAATAGATTCTCAGTCCATATACCAAACATACACTAAATATAATAGTGATACTAAGATAATATCAAAAATCTTTTATTCACAAACCATCTAAAACACAAATATATACAAAAGTAGAAAACTGATTACTATATTACAATTGAATACAAGTATATGGTGGATAATTTTTGAACTCGTTTTTTGCTTCATTTTGACCGTTCAGTCACATTTTTCACGAAACTCATGAAATTCGACCAAAATTATAGAAGTATTTAGTTACAGCATAATATGATGTTTCATAAGATTCTGAAGACCAAAAAAATAGGATTACCCACTAAAAATTCAATTTCTTGATTTTTCAAAGCTAACTTGTAATTTTGACAGTAGCTCCAATGAATTGAAATGTGGTTGAGATAGGAGAATCACTGCTGAGGAATACCAGTGTACATACAATAATCATAAAAATTAAATGAACATTTGCATTTTGTTAGAATTATTCAACCTTATCCACCTTTGCCATGAAGTAATATTTTGAACTAACACTAAGAATGATGTACAAAAACATGGTATGATTTTTCATCCCCCAATACATTATGTCATATGCATACTGGCCAAAACCTAAACCGTTAAATAATTACAAATGATTGACATGATAAAGACTTAGTATTTTGCTACGAAGCTGATATTATCAAAATGCCTTGTTTGTTAGGATGATTCACAGAGTGAATTAAACAACTCGATCTAGCCAATTTCAGGCAAGATCATAACCTAAAATGTCCTCCAAGCCGTACCCAAACAGCTTGAAGTCAGCTTCATAGAGCTTATAAATCGTCTCGATTTCATGAATCGACAGTTGCTGGAAGAAATACTTCAGCCTCTCCTTTGTTTTTGCATACCTGAAAAAATATAAAATCATAAACAAAGACTACCGTTCAATTCTGATAATTATAAAAAATATATCTGGTTGACGGGATCTGAGGTAAGGAATAAGCTATTTTTTTCTGTGACGGGAAAAAAGTTTGGCATTTCATCTCTGTTGGCAGGTTATAAAATGTCACTTTTCATGAATTACTTTTTTCCCGTGGGAAAAAAGTGGGTACTTCTTTCCCGGATATATATCACATAGGTATATATACACTGTTGATGGCTTTTGTTGTGCTATAGTTCCGAAAAATGAGTCAATAATACCGTCTCCAAGAAAGAACTGCAAGTCCCTTTTATCTTCCATTCGACTTCGCGGTTACGTATATTACTAAACAACCACTAAATTCGAATTTTTTGAAATCAAATCACAGAATTAGACTGACAGAAGTGACATCAGATATTTGATTACTTCAAAATAATGATAAAGATGCCTACAACGCAGGTGTCTCTACTGTTAAAAACTTGAAATTTCACGTCGATAATTTTCAGATTTCAAAATATCTTCTCAATATTGATTCGTCCATTCTTCTGTCACAGAAAAAAAAAGTGTATTATACACGAAAAATATTCGATTTCAGCTCACGGTTTTTTGTCTCCCTCCGCTACGCGTCGGGAGACAAACACAACCTGGAGCTAAAATCTACAACTTTTTTCCCTTGTATAATAAATAACTATTATTGGTACTGCGTATTATTGTCAACCGATAAGTCATCATGTTGGGGGCGATTAGGATATAATGATTTGAAAAATTTGCCTCGCGGATTGGATAGACCCTGCAAAAAAAATTCAGAGTTTCTGAGGTAACTCTGAGTCACACCTGCCAGATAAATTCCGGCTATACTTTCCAAATTATTCTCGGGAGTGTAAGGGATAGGCTATTTATGTATTTGAAGCCGGGCTTCACAGCATTCCTCCCCAGCGAGCACAAAAAAATCTCAGAGATGTCGAAAGTACGAGATTTCGAGACATTGAACCTCCACTGCGATGTTCTGTTCACACATGAATAGAACTATTATAGAACAGCTAATGTCCGCCGCAGGCGGCAATTATCGAGATGTCCTTGATATGTCACAAAACTACCTTTTCCCTAGTTCTTTTTAAAGCCTTTTCATGGACACAACAGAACATTTTCAACACGTCTTGCGCACATTAAATCGCTGTAAAAAAACATTTTCGAGGTACTTTTCTGAAGCCTTTTGTCAAAATAAACTTTTGCATTAGGATTCCATTTCCCTTGAATGAAAAAATGCATTAAAAATAGATTGAACATAAAAATATTTTCTTGATATGAAATTACCTTCTTAATCGGTTTCTGAGTAGTGCTTACTACACACAAACATATAATTGGAAATAGGTTTCCCAATTTTTGAAATGTTCTCCACAATGCATAATTTTGCAACTGCGGAGAAGCTGTATATTGATGTATTCGTACTTTTATATATTGATTACACTGAGGCACCGAACAACACATCTTGCATCTGATGGTCATTATTACAAACTAAATGAGTCTTCTAACAGAATAAACTTCACCAAATTCCTTTCTGTTCGTTAGCAGCGTGATGTAAGCGTGACGCGCTGCAAACGCGAATGCCAATTGCGAACAAGAAGAACAAAATCGAAAACAAATCAGAATTCATCGTATTGTGACGTAAGCATGAGACGTTGTGGGTGGGGCAAACAAAGAAAGGACACAAAAGAACAAAAACAATACTTTCAATATCCTTCTAAGACCTATTTGGGAAGTGCATATCACGCCTCAAAAAAACATCCTCATGCCTACATTTCTAAAACATCCCAGGGATACCTCTCAGTAGGCAAACAAAGAAATGCCACAGAAGAACAAAAACAATACTTCATTATCCTTCAAAGACCTCTTTGGTCAGTGCATATTACGTCTCAAAATAACATCTTCATGCCAACATTTTCAAAACATCCCAGGGATGTTTGTGCTCGCTGGGTCAGTGATCGCGAGCGAGTCGTCATTGACTTGTCATTGGATTGACCGAGCCTGAAACGGGCATATCTGTGCGTTGTGGTATGCGCACTGGTCTGTTAAAAAATGAAACTTGTCGACACCAACGTCAAACGTTCCGACACTAAGTGAAATTACTGGGTGTATACCATAGACAAACCAAAAATAAAGAGACTGTTCAAAACATAGGAAATTTTGACCATCAAGTTTGTGCGCAACCCAGTCGCGCATGGAGGCGCTGTTCGCAATCGACAAACGACTTATGACATGAAACATTTCGACATTCGACAGCACGACAGTATAAGGCCTGTTCGTTTGTGTTTGCTCTGCTTGCTAAACTTAATTTTTTTTCTATGACTTTCTCTGTTTATATCATACTATGAACAGAGACAACTATGGAGAAACATCAACTTTAGCAAGTTCTATTTCAGAACAAAGGAACAGACCTATGGAATACAATATTGTTTATTTTCCGAGTTGATGTTGATACTGAAATTCGCTGAAATTCGACTTTCTCTTTCACATTTCTTTCACATTCATTTTACTTTATTTCCGAGTTTATTTCTATTATTGACAAGGTGAAATTGATAATATTCATGTAGGTTGCACGTAGGTACATTTTTCTAGAAACATAAGTGATATTCTTTCATTCTAAACTAACCGAAATATTTCACTTGAACTGAACTGGATTAAACATACATTTTATCGAATTGAAGTAGGTATTTCGAAAGAACTCATGTTAACTGATTTCGGTTTTATGTAATATTTCAGTTATATTTCAGATTAAAAGAATATCACAGATGTAAAAGTGTGGTGAGATGTCAGGCAAATACAAGTCTGCAAACAAGTGTTGAATAGCTTGATAATACCTAAAAATGCCAACAAAAATTGTGAAGACGATGTGAGTACCATATTGGATAATCTCAACTCATTTTTAACTTGCCCAGTGGAGCCAGGGCCATCATCAGTTCTTGTCAATGAGTTGAATGAATTTGTTATTCCAAATTTCGATATTGTGTTTTCTGACTCAGAATTTGACACCCAGGCAACATAATATAGCAGGACAGAGTTAGTTATTCATTTATTTATAATTTTCATCATTTCTGTTTGTTTTTTTGTTTTTGTATGTCTAGTCATTATTAGGCTGAAGAGTTTATATCTTATTTTGTTATTTTTTTCAGAGTTTTATTTACTTATTGTTTCATAATATGTAGTTCTCTAGTCTTGGATGGAATAAAATATTTTTTCTGCAACCGACACAAAAGTCGTCCATTTTGATACCAAAATTAGCTCTTAAATTGACGTTTCTATTACTGACACAAAAATAGGTATGTTGCTAGGCAACATATTTAGTTCCTAGGAGCTAAAGTTGAATTTTAGTTCCTAGGAGCTAAAGTTGAACTTTAGCTCCTAGGAACTAAAAAGGATGTACTGGACGTCATCGAGAATGAACAACATTATGACGGTTGGTTATTTGGGTTGAGACGCATACCTGATTTGTTTCCGATTTCAGCAGATTTGGCACATCATAGCCATGCTGGAGATATAAATACACCTTATTATAAAAGTTTGGTATTGGAATTAATTATAAACATCTCAGTTAAGTATTTTTGTTTTGATCAGGGAAGCCTTCAAGATACAAATACTTGCTTGATCTGTATTTCATTCGTTATTCTCGGGATGGATAACTTGTTTTTCAATCACGGCAAGGAATCGGTTTTTTGTCTCAAACAACGATGTTGTTTAGCTTCATTTGATTATCAAGTCAAACACAGTGTAGTATGGAGAGGAATAAATAATCACTATTATCATTGTTGATATGTTCACTAACCTAACATTTTCCACGTCCTGTTCCTATAGCTGGCACTGGCGCGGTATTTGCCATTAGAGCACCTGGTCCATACACAAATATGTCACTCTGTGGTTGTATTTATATTGAAACTACAATTCGAACATCCTAGAAAACCTAACCTGCTGTTAGTGCAGGTAGAATATTCTCACTACATGGATTATTTGTCAATATTTGTTGCATTGCATACATATGGCACGGCATTGGTGGTTACTTCACATGTTCATTTGAGTTAATTGTTTCGGTTGCAGAAAAAATATCATGTTTCATTCGGATCAAAAGTGACTTTGTTCGACTCGCAAATTTTGCTTTCGCTCGGCTTCGCTAAACGCTCCGCCTCGCAAATGCAAAATTCGCTTGTCAAACAAAGTGTCACTTTTGATCCTAATAAAACAATCTACTATTTTTACAGTTTTTTCATTTTTTTTTGTAATTTTCCTGATTAATACAAATTTTGAAAGTGCAGGGCAGGTTTGAAATAAACCGCCTTATCTCAATCGGTAACTAGGGAATCTGTTTTATCGATCATAGTAACTAGTTCCACCCAGTTGCCAAGTGTGTCGCTCTAAACGTGGTGCCAACTTTTACTGCAGGTTTGACAACTCTCTTTTCTATTCCTTTCTCTATGGTGTATACTGTGTTGGCACTCATAATAGACGTGTATAAATCGCAAAAAAAAATCGTTGGCGTTCTATTCCTTCTCTAAAATCGTCTCCCTACGTACCTCGTGACTGGAAACACGATGTGCGGCGCCCCCACCATATCCAACACGGCCCTGGCGTCCTCCATGATGGTCTCGTGTCTGCCGACGAAAGAGTAATTCAGCGCGCAGGGCGAGCACAGATCGTTGACGGGGGCCCAATGCTCGTTGGTGGTGGGGCCCTCCTTCATGAGGTAGTGCGCAAACTCGCGGAAAGTGACGTTCGCGCCACTGGCCATCTCGGCTGCGGTCGGGTGCGATCGGAAGGTTTTTATTATGTGCCGGCCGTACCGCTGCTGAAAGTTGGATAAATGAATGACATCGCGAATGGTGGGGATAATGGGAAGAATGCTTTCTAGATAAACTATGGCACTCCAAATTTTCAGTAGTAGACCAAGGAAGCGAGAATGATTGTTTTACCTATGTTGTGCTATCTGTCTTACTAAATTCCTAATCAGATAATCAAAAATGAAATGAACAAAGCATAATGGATTCTTATTTTTGGCATAATTCTACAATGAGCCTTTCCAGTAACGTAAAATTTGACCCTTTTTCGCTATTATGGTATGAAGAAAAATTGAAAAAGGTTATCCGACCACATATTTATGGTTTGTAGGGTTATAGTTCAGTGGGAGAAACTAGAACGACAAATTAATTAAAAATGCTATTTCAATGCCTGTGAAATCAAACGCTACTGAGCTGTGATGTCAGTGTCTTATTGCAATTTGATTGGTTGGAGTTCTGACGGCTGGGAATCACTCCGCTGTTGCCAGATCTCTATAAAATCCTTGAATTGATCCTATGTACAGGATGGGGCAAGGAATGCAATGATTCGTAATAAGTAGGTATATAATCACCTATAGTTGATTGGTAATTCACTGCTGATCACATTCAATTTATCCTGAATTCCAAAGTATTTCAGTAGTTTCAAGATTAGCTAGGATGAAATGTGATGCAATCATCTAACTGTAATACGACGCTTTTTACATACTTAGTTTGGAAGTTATGTTGAAATTCCGTTGACTATTTCTTATAATCAACGGATTGAACAGTGTTACTATATCTCAAGCACCCATTCCCGGAAAATGTAATTGCTAATCTAGCCAATATGTCTACTAGAGAAAGAGATGAAGCATCTGACGCTAACAAAATGTTGCCAATTTAAAAATCCTCGCATAACTTCACTGTTCTTATTTCTCAATATTATTGACAAGAAGACAGTGATGCTTGTACTGAAATCAATAGGAATTAAACCAAGTAAGCAATTTAGTATTGATTGATTCAGAATTCATTTCTTTCCCTATGATATAACTAAGTATGTGATGCAAATTTTCAATACAACCAATTTTCAGGTGAGTAGTTATTATTTGAGTTATCTAACAACATCTGTATTATATTTGCTAAAATGAAAAAATTGAGGAATGAATATCCGACTTATAGCTTTCTGTCCAATTTGGCAACATTGACGAGTCCATCGTGCATTCTATTGGCACCCGCGAGAAGGTCAGGGAATTACCAATCCAAATTGCTCGCGCACTGACGGCACAGGTTTCGCGGCCATGTCTGATCGTTTGAACCCGCATGTTTAGTTTGGCTTATTCAATAATTTTTCATAGCAGGATAATTTTTTTCTAAAAATGACAGGAAAGGCTCATTGTTAATTCAGTGGCGGCTCCTCAGAGGAGGCAACGGAGGCTGAGCCTCCGCAGAGATTCTCCTTAAACTGATATTATCTATACTTTCTCATTAAAAGGACACCAAAATACATGGATTTTGATTTTATTTCCTGTTTTTAGGTAGATTTTTTTGAATTTTCAACAGTGCTTGCCCACGCATCACACGTTGAAGTCTGCAATTCACGCGTAAAATATTCAACTTGGCAACATCTATAGGAGGCTAGACTCCTTCACAACGCGCAATAATACTCGAATACACCCGAATAGCATGTGTTTGTCGTGTCGCGAATTGCGGAAAATCCAGCGCGAGTGCATTGTTTATGTTTATGTTAGGTTAATGGTTAGGGGCTCTAAAAATTTCTCAAAAATGAGTGTTTTAAACAATTGCGATCTAGTGGAATACTTTTTGGTGAACCCATTCAGTGCTTTGTCTTATGAAGATAAATTGATTGTGAAAACAAACGTCCGACACCGGAATTAAAAAATCTGATCGTAACAGGTAACAAACAAAATCGTTCGTTCAATTCTGATAATTATAAAAATATATCTGGTTGACGGGATCTGAGGTAAGGAATAAGCTATTTTATTGGTACTGCGTATTATTATCAACCGATAAGTCATCATGTTGGGGGCGATTAGGATATCATGATTCGAAAAATTTGACTCGCGGATTGGATAGACACTGCAAATCACAGGAACACATCTCTTCAAGTATTAAGTTCAGGTTAACTGGTAAACAGAATGTCATTAAAGCTATCGATTTGGGTGAGTCGTAGAGAGTTGTTTTTCACAATAATTCTCATATCATTCAGCCTCCTCTGTCATGAAAGTCACGAGCCGCCACCGATTGTTATAGCTATGAAAAAAAACCTCATTGAATATAGCAAAAGAAGTGGACAAGATTGTTGTAAATTCCATGATATGAATTGAAATAGTATACCTGGAAATATTTCGAACTTGAGTAACCGTCCAAAAATTTATTGGTATATGCAGAGAGCAATCTTTCGAAGGGATGTCTTGTAACCAAGAACAGTGTATAATTATTGAGGCAAGATTGAATATCTGCCTCTGCCAATTCGGAAAGCTTCACTGTGGAATGTTCAGAATGGGCCTGCCATGATGGAATGTCTAGCAAGTTGGTGACGTTGTATTCTCCCGTAAGCACCATTAAAACCTGAAAAACCGCGGATTACTCAGTATTTTTGAATCGCTGGGAAATCGTTTTTAATTATTTGGTTCTAATGGCAGTTCAAGTGCTACATTTTGATAAAATTCAAAATTATATTTACTGGTAATTTTTATATAGAGCCAACGATGAGGTCTTTTTATAAATCTGTGATCTCTAGAATCTCAGACAAAAATATTTATCCGAAACAAAATGGCGGACGATAATGTATGTTTTCGTGTAATCTTGCAATCGTGTAATAATAATGTAGGTTTTCCGTCGACCTCGTATTAACGAGTAAGTTTAATGTTCATGAAATCGTTCATTAATGACCCCTATTAATGATCAATTTGTCTATTAATGCACGATTGCTTTATAGGCAACCAAACATACACCGCGTGCATTCATTGTTTATGCTATAACTTACGGAATCTGCATTTAAATCGAAAATATGGATTTCATCGAAGATTTTCCGCTAACGGGTTCGCCTTTCCAAGTTTCTGACACGATTTTAATCCCTGTTAACACAAGGAATTTATTTTCTATGTTGATCATTTCGACAAATGTCAAATGTCACTAATGTCAGTAACAAAGCTACTGGGTGATTCTTAGCAGTTTCCGGATGAATGATGAATTCGCGAACCAAGTTTCCTTCATTGCAGGAGAAATCAGAAATATAGTCGACGGAAAAATTTTGTAACCAACTTGTATATTAAAAGGCGATTAATGATCTCGAACATTAACGTGCTCGCTTTGCTCGCACGCTAAAATATCTCGATCATTAATCGCCCTCATTAATACACTAGTTGGTTAAATAACTATTTCGTGTAATCTTCAACTCTCTTATTTGCATCTAGAAAAGTTCTCTATCCTGGAGTGTTTCTAAGAGGAGCCATCTTGAAGAAGATATTAAAACATTGTTCTCGATTTTGAATAGAGATTTTTATACATTCTTCAGATACTGGTATAATTGAAACACCTTTGAATTAAGATATCACTGACTACCATGTGATTTGAATTATCAATATTATAATTATTATTATTCTTTACCCTTTTCCAGTTAGTGCAGGCAACTTTTGGAACATAGCAATAAAGTAACTTAAAATTATGGTCAACCAAAATATGATCTAATTCACTATAATTCAATTTCTTCTTGAATTTCGCATCCAAGTTGTCACAACCTGAATTGAGTTGTTCCTGTCTAGAAATCTGTTCCAGCCAAGGATATTTTCCGACATCAAGAGCTAAAATACGAAAAAGTTATTAGTATGTAGTGCGCGAAATGCTACTTTGGTGAACGAGAACTGATTTTTTGGACGAGGCGCTGCCGAAGTCTTTCACGCACGAGGTGCAAACAAAATTTTTTCTACAAACGAGGAAAAATATTGTTTTAAAATAAGCAATATGCTTATAGACCAGGAGCTGGTGATAGGTGACTCGTATTTTATGCTGCATGCCTTTTCAAGGCTTTATAGTTAACCCCAAAATATGAAAAATAGACGGGTTCCTGACCGCCACACGTGTGCTTTTCATGAGGAAATGTGCTTTTCTTTTTGTGAAGAATTAGACGGGTTCCTGACCGCCACACGTGTGCTTTTCATGAGGAAATGTGCTTTTCTTTTTGTGAAGAATTTTCGCGTTTTTTTGCAATATCATTCAGCCTGCCTTTGTAATATACGGAAGTTCAAACAAATTGAAGGGTTAATAATGGGCTTATATCACAAAAAAGTTTTATTTCATAATTCGATAGAACTCACCCAAACTAGCTCACCACCGCAAACCGTTTCTTGCTGTGAGCTTCCTACGTTTTATAAAAAATTATTGAAATCCCCGATTTTTCGGGCCTCTGAAAATGGGGCGATGATGTGACGTCAAAACCCTTATACTGAAACAAGACTATATATAGAGATGAATGATACATGATTTCTGACAGAGTGAATTAGCGCGAGATCACAGTTGAAAGAATTAATATATCAGTTGCCTCAGTCTCCGTCGGGCGTTTGGTATTTTCTTTTAACTATGGCGAGATAAGGTTTCTACGTCATAACAGGTCCCGTTTTCAGAAGGTACTATTATTTATGTCTAAAAATGAAATATTCCAGTTAATTTTTCCATCGAATTATGTCGTCAATCATTATTTATGTATAAAAGGATAATTATAAACATGGTTTGAGTTAAAAGTTTTACTAAAAGGTGTACACGCTCATTTTGATGTATCAGAATGGAATCAGTTATTTGTATTTGTACCAGAAATTATGTAGTTTGTGTCGGCGAGATGTAAGCAAACCAAGAATAGTTTGATAGCAATAAACAGGATGTTGGTGAATTTAGTTGTCACCCAACAAAAATCTAAATACCTAGGAAATTATTGGAAAATTTTCTGAATGACTAAATTCACCAAATTGGTACGTCACACCGACGTGATTTTTAGACCTCATATATACGTCACTGCAACGTCATAAAAGTTACGGTTTCAATAGGTACACCCATATTACCATTCATATGTATACATTTATAGCTTGATTGTTTTCCGAGATATACAGGGTATCAGAGTTGAAAAAAAATTCTCCTACTTTTTGGGTTGGTATATATAATTCCAATAAAACTTGTTGATTTGTTTCAATTAGGTATACTTATATTAACGTCAGTACTATATACAGCGTGTGTCATTTCAAACGGCCCCCCCTCTGTATCTCACCTATCAGTCGTGCGATCTTTACCAAATTTGTATCGGTATGACCAGTTCTTCAAAGACAAACATCATTTTAGACATTGCCGTGCATGTTTATTGAAATGAATAGGGGTCAGTTTTTTATTAAATCATATTAGGCATTTTTTCATAGGAACACTGACCTCATAATATTGTTCTTCATGGTTTCGAACCCACATATGTGGATTTTCATAAGATTCCTATGAAGGGTTTCAGGAAACCAGGCACATCTAAACAGTATTTTTGCGAACGTAAAAATTATTTACTCGGAAACGGTAAGTTCAACAAAAAATGGTATATCTTGTTTTTTCTTTCAAATCATCATTTTCTACCTACCGGAGCTATTGAATGTTCCTAAATTCGTATTTGATTTGAAGGCACCATTTATTTATTCGAGACTGAAAATGTAAAAAGGGAGCCAATCCTGTTAATTCGGAATTACGTGATTTTTTGCATATGGAGCTTCGAGAGCATGGGGAACAATGATATGAGGTTAGATTTCCTGTATAAAATGCCTAATATGATTTAATGAAAAATCGACCCCTTTTTAGTTCAATAAAAACGCACGGCACTGTCCAAAATGATGTGCATCTCAGTAAAACTGATCATATTGATGGTTATTCATACCACGCCAGATTTGGTTGGAATCGCATGACTAATAACTGAGATATAGAGGGGGGGCCGTCTGTGACACACGCTGTATATAAAATTACCAAGACGTACATGTTTCTATATATGTGTGTAAAATTGATGAAAAAACGAGTTTCTCTGAAAACTTCTCGACGCTGAAAATGACCATTCTGTATATATAGGTGCGTCACAAACCTGACGGTTAGAAAATGTCTGTGAAAAATGGACGTCAACAGGGTGTCCCTGCAACATCATGAAACTGATGTCTTATTTACCCATTTAAGTGACGTTCACTCGACGTTGAGATGATGACGTGGTTATCACGTCATAGAAAGTACGTCATAGTGACGTCATAAATTGGTGTTACGTCTCTCGACGGAAAATCACTATATAGGGACGTCACAGTGACGTGATCATTCGTCATCTAGTTGTCTGGGATGAATGTCTCAGGACACCCGTACGGTGGAAGTGAATTATTGCTGATTGGTTGTTAAATATATCACTATTCTGATGATTGCATCAAATACTGTCAATACTAATAATAATACAACAATATTAATGGAAAGATCAATACAAAAGAGGTATGTGGCGTGAATGCAACTAGTGTGTACAGCCCAATTACCTTCCAGAATTTAAACTCACCCGCAAGTGGTATGAAAACTAATGCTACAAGGGACCCAAACTTTATTTTTGGATTTATTGGGACCATACTTAGTCAGCATGTCTCAGAGAGTGTGAAGATTCCTTCCTCAGTCTCTTCACGAATCTGATTTCAGATTTATTTGCTATACCTGAAAATACATTGTGCAATGTAGAACAGTCCTATGCTTTACAAAAAATATTGAATTACCATATTCAGAAACTTCTTTTTTGTCATCTCTCATCACCTGGCCATTTTGGACGTTCTGTAAATGGAAAGTCCTCCACACGTAGCGCCAACTTATTTTCGTTTTGATCCTTTGACGCTGCTGTCGCAGAGTGAAGCTACGTTTTATTGCTTTCTTCAAATCCAACACAGTTGTTCCCCGTTGGGAAATCTGGAACGACATTTTCTTCAAGACTCAACGTATCCAAAGACCAGTAAAACTGTTCATTATCTCTTGAAATTGGGATTTTTTTAAAGGACCCCGCACGAAAACACGGTAAATTTGCTCTCGGTCGAATTGGCTGAAATTTTACTATGTTATTGTGGGATGGCTCATTAGAAAAATATGTGAGTTTAAAAAGTTTTGTATGTTTAGTTTCTGATATATAAGCCGACAAAATTCGTAAAAACGTCGTATCGGGGTAGGATTGGCAAAGAAAAAAACTGTTTTTTTTAGTATAAATGAAACAAAATAAGCTAGAAAATATATTGATCGGAACTCATAAACATGTCTAGTTATAATCACATAAATTATAGTAAATCAGGGTGTATACGAGGCACGGTCAAAAAATTCATTTTTCGGAAAAAAAATTCGAGCACTATATTCCCAAACCAACAAGTTATATTTTGGTGGGATATATTATAGTTTTAGTCTATTGTAGGCTTCGAAAACGTATTTTGATTCTTGATAACTATCTCTGTTCAAAATATGAATTTTTAAAATTTTGTGTTATACTCCTTTTTGAAAACAATTGACAGCTTGTTTTTGATCACAAAGAAGGGGATTGATTGATACTGTTGATTGAATGAAAGCTGAGGTAACTCACTAGCGAATTCAGTTGTTCAATATACAGGGTGTGTTAGATTTTGTTGAAGATTATTTAACATGTTTCATTCAATCGACAGTATCAATCAATCCCTTTCTTTGTGATCAAAAACAAGCTGTCAATTGTTTTCAAAAGGGGTATAACACAAAATTCCAAAAATTCATATTTCGAAAAGAGATAGTTATCAAGAATCAAAATACGTTTTCGAAGCGTACAATAGGGTAAAACTATAATGTCTCATCAAAATATAACTTGTTGGTTTTGGAATAGTGCTCGAATTTTTTTTCCGAAAAATGAATTTTTTGACCGTGCCTCGTATTCATCCTGATTTACTATAGTTTATGTGATCATAACCAGACATGTATTTGAGTTCCGATCAACACATTTTCTAGCTTATTTTGTCTTATTTATACTAAAGAAACAGTTTCTTTCTTCGTCAATCCTACTCCAATACGACGTTTTTACGAACTTTGTCGGCGTATATCTCAGAAACTAGACATACAAAACTTTTCAAACTCACATATTTTTCTAATGAGCCATCCCACAATAACATAGTGAAATTTCTTGCCAAAATACGATCGAATTTTTCAGTTTAACCTAGTTAAAATCAAAGGTAATAGTGCAATTTGTCTCATTTTTAAAAATTTGAATGAATTCATGACTTTTTCGAAAAAAGTCAATGGAATTAATTCACGAATGAAATCACTGATTTAATTCATATGAATTAATTCATTCCAACCCTGCTCTGTACACCTTCCTGGTCCACAGTAATAATATAATTTCGAGAAGGATCCGATTCACCTGACTGAATGAGAAAATTTGTTGTTCTGGTTTCTTGTTCAACAGAATTATTTATAACATCAAGAATGGCTTAAAAAATGATGCTCATCTTCACTACTCCATTTACAACCCCTTTAACCACCAAAAAATAATAGAACATCAGTATATTCAGAAAACATATAAACACAGAATTCAACAACAATAATATTCAGTAAATAGTTAATTTCAATGACCTGTGAAACTCTTATCAATATTTTGATCGATAAATGCACTTTCCAAACATATATGTTCATGAATTCATTTCAGTTGGTATAATGAAAAATATGCATATTTTTACATAAAAATATAATTCTCATATTGATGTGGTATGGATGAAATAGTAAAGCTCCTATATGAACTAAAATATTTTTCAAACAAATCTGAGATACTTTCATATTTCATAACTTGCAACAGATCAATTTATGTAGTTTTTAAAAACACTACATTCAATGTTGCAGATTTTTATAATGAGCATTTTCTTATACTATCTCTTGGAGCGCACAAAAGGAAACTTCTATCGAAGAACATCGTGCGTATCTAGGAAGGATAAGGAGAGGAGGTAGGTATTGGAATTTTTTTTGAACTTTTGGAGGTTATGAATACTTCCATTGGCAAATAATTCCAAAGCTTTGCCGTTGTTATACATAAGAATGAGTGTTGGTAAAGTGATGCTTCACATATTTCAAGATAGACAACGAAAAGATGTGCTGACTGGGCTTGTCGAGTTCGGCTGACTGGTAGGCATTGCTAGTGATGGAATGATTGCAGAAATTCCTGAGAAAAATTTCCCGTGGAAGTATCTATAGAAAAGTGGAGGGTCTCCGACTTTTTAGCGGTGTTCCAATGAGGTCAAAGAACTAGTGAGTGTGGCATCACCCACCAGGAGAATTGCTTCAAGTTTAGCTTCAGGGCTTCAAGTACCTACACTGATTTCACCAGATTATTTTTTCGGCCAATGACGGCTAAATATCTAGACTGTCTGATGGGTTATATTGGATATATTTGTCTGGTAATATATGGGAAGCTGCATGTTTTAATGCCTTCCACATGATGAAAAATAATTTGAAAAAACATCCCATTTTATATACAGGGTGGTTCTGGTTTTAAGGCACAAACTAAAATGGGAGTTAGATCTCATCATTTTAATTAAAAAAGTTCATATAAACATTAGTCCGATCTCGTTCAGTAGCGGAGCTACAGGGGGTCAAAATTCAATTATTTTTTTCTATTAATTGAAATATCTCGCTTACTTTTCACGATATCATTTTGAAATTTGGTGTGGTCAATACTTCCTAGAAGATCATCATTTCAAGCCATTTGAAGATTCTCAAAATGTACAGGGTGATTCGTTTTTGGGGGTAGAGGCTTCTTTATCCCCCCAAACTTCTTCGTAGTACGCCCCTGGCATCTTTCAGAGCAAAATGTGTGGATCATTCAATTTAAAGGCTTTCCTTGCTCTTTTTGTCAAAGAATAAAATTTGAGCGAAACATAGGCAAAATTAACATGTTTTAGAACGTATATGCTTATTTATCTCAAAAACGGTTCGTTTCTCGAAAAAATTGAAGAGCAAAAAAGCCTCAAAATTGAAAGATCCTCACAATTTGATCACTGAAAGATGCCAGAGGCGTACTACGAATAAGTTTGGGGGGGATAAAGAAGCCTCTACCCCCAAAAACGTATCACCCTGTAGATTTTGAAAATCTTCAAATGGCTTGAAATGATGATCTTCTAGGAAGTATTGACCACACCAAATGTCAAAATGATATCTTGGAAAGTAAGCAAGATATTTCAATTAATAGAAAAAAAAAATAATTCAACTTTGACCCCCTGCCCCTCCGCTACTGAGCGAGATCGGACTAATGTTTATATAAACTTTTTTGGTTGAAATGATGAGATCTATCTCCCATTTCAGTTTGCGCCTTGAAACCTGTATGTATATATATTGTATATATTATTTCCTTCTGTATAGAAAACAATGTGCAGTGTGATTTTGTAAACATCATACATTATAATTTGAATACAGTCAATCAATATATAGTATTTCTTCAGAATACTATTGTATATCATTTCCTCCTTGAAGACATTACATTACCTAATAGAGTTGAAAATTAATAATGAATGAATATCAAATTAAATGTTAGTTTTCAGTAAAATAATGTTTTTATTTTGCTCCCAATTTCACCACAGCTTTCCTTCAGCAGTCATCAGAGTTTTTGAATCAATATATTTCAATGTTTACATAACTTTTTTAACATACATAAGAGGGGGGTAAAATCCCCAACAAGAGGGATTGGGGTATTGAACTGTTTTAAAAGTATTTGAGGAAAGTAATATGGTGATAAGATATATTAGTTCAGAACCAGTTTCATGTTTGATTAATTTTTCAGTTAATTTAATTTCTGATTTATAATCTTCAAGTTTTCAAGGTTATTTAATTGGTAATTTATTTCCAAAAGTTCAGTGTGTGTATACACATCATCTACAAATTCTATTAAAAAGGAATAAAATATTTCTGAACAAATATTGTTGACCTATCTACCTTCTCCACTCTGTAAGGGTAAATATCTTGGGGGCAATTTGTCTAAAAAATGTACAAATTTAAATCTCAATGATTTTGAAATCTCATATTGGTATCAGGGATCTTAACATTTTCTGGGACATCAAGTATATTCTGGTGATGTGAAAATATCTGGGAAAATAATCAACATTCAAGTTAAAAAACTATTCAACTAATGAGCTTATTTATAAAATCCCATTTTTAATACCAGATATTGGTCATTTCTCACAATTTCTGCCACTCTCACATGATTATTAATGCAATTCAATAAACTATCAATCTATTCATCAATATGGAATATATAGATACCCTGATTCATGCTTGAATCCACATTGGAATGAATTTTGCTCACCACAACATTCAAAGGAGATTCTGAGTATCTGGTGACAACTACTGTGATAGATTGACCCTGAGCAACTGCTATTTGTGCCAACACTTCCTCAACAGTAACATCAACAGGTAAGTCTTTGAGCAAAGGATCAGCAGTTATCAGTCTTCTCAAGCTGCTTTGTGTTATTTCCAAAAGATCCTCATGGGAAAGTTTGGCAATTTCTTCATCTAAACTAGTTTCAGTATCTTGTTCTGCTGTTTCATCCATACTAAAACAAATTCACCATAAATAAAACCTGATTTCATAGGTATAGTGTGTATAGTGCCACCTGGAGTATCACAGAATAAATTATAAACTAATTAACCATTGACATTTTAAGAATTTGACCATGAGTCCATCAATGAATAATATCAGTGCCTCAGGTCTTTCACAGGGATATTTAAATATTTTAATAATTATGGGAGCATTTTATTTTGCCACTATTTACATCTTTCACCTGTGCGCCTTTAACATTGATTTCAAATTCACATTTTCCGCTAATCTGATCAAATTTAGGGAAGACTGCTAGACATAGATAATAATTATAGCCTGCTGTATGATTATCTATGATGCTGCTGGACAACTGCACAAAAGTTTGGTTAAAGCACAGTGTCAAAGTTAAAATATAGTAGATCGCGAATATCGCGATAGAAAATAACAAGTCGCTCCACCTGACGGCAACAACTCGAACACTCTTGAGCGGTTTGTTTTGATGAAGTGACCAATAAGCACAAACAAAAAAACAAATGTGAACCAATTGAAAACGAAGTAAACAGGCCGCTTTGACAGCTTTCAAGATCTCCGATAGGTGGCGTACGCATATTTTCTATCGCGACGTTTGACGGCAGTGACGGCTTCAACTTTCAACTCAACGGCTCAGGTGTTCTGTGCACTTGTGAATGCTGTGGCCACAGTAGAGAGCTTACAGCTGTGGCTGCTCAGGTGGCTGCTGGCTGCAGACGTACTAGAGTACCTTGATAGATTTTTTGGATTTGACGTTATTGTTTTATTATCTGTTATTATTTAACAAATCCATCACATTGATCGATTAACGATTCGACCGATTTGACGAATGACGAATTGAATACGTGCTGAGAAGTAATGAACTATTTTTGTTATTTGAGGAAATGAGGCCACGTGTCCTAATAAAAAAATTGCAAATACGATATGTCAATCGAATTCTGAAATGAGAAATCAGATTTTTATCAGATGTTTTGCTTACCACCCATCATGAACACGATTATGATTTAATATATAGAGCTTTTTACTTTTTTTTCACTTTTTGCTTATATATAAACATAAAACATCCACGCATTATAAAATGGATACGATGACTAACGGGAAAAAACTATATTTACCACAAAACAGGGACGACCTTCGAATGATGAATGATGATAACTATTAATTAAAAATCATGATGCCATATACTATATATAAATGCATCAATGTAATAATCATTTATGTGATTTGAGATATACACTTATTTATTATATACCTGAAAGTAGAAAGTATATACTTAACAATATATATATAATATATAAATGTATATACCTACAGTGTGTTCACTTCAAATAGCGATAAATCCATCAATTATTATATATTATAATTATAGGTATACTTAATGATATTACGATCGTAAGAGGAAGACTCGTTGTAAAAATGATAAATTAATACCAGTTGAAGTGAAACACACGCTCTGTATGTATATATTTTATATGATCATTCTCTCGTCGAAGTTTTTGTAGAAATAAAGTTATTAACTATAATATTGTACATATATACGATCTCAATAAAGCATAATATCCTTTTTCGATCGACAATTGGTATATATATTGTATATGATGTTTAGGTACTATTATATACGAAGCTCTGGGAGGGCCACTTCTATATATTTTTTAAAATCTCGAGTTTGTAAAGTCGAGATCTCGAGTTCTCGAGTTGTGAAAGTCGAGATCTCGAGATCTCGAGTTGTGAAATTCGAGATCTCGAGATCTCGAGTTTACAAAGTCGAGAACTCGAGATCTCGACTTTACAAAGTCGAGATCTCGAGTTTGCAAAGTCGAGAACTCGAGATTTAATTTGTTGTGGTGAACTTGTGATGCGAGAACGTCAAGAGATATGTCATTATGTCAACCTGACACCTGCCGCCATAATTCTCTATACCTGCCGCCAAATTCCAAAAAGAAGCCATCTAAACTCGGATCTGTTGACTTTCCTGCTGTGTGTAGTGTGGGTGGATTAAAGAATGAAGAGATACAGAAATACTTAAAATAATTTTCTTCTTTATTGTAGAGCGTTTAAATAAAAGCTTGACTTGGGTAGTGACTAGTGAGGTAGTGAGAAGCAAAATTTCGAGTGTTATTTAATGATTCTTCAAAACAACATTCATTCAATTATTAATTTTTTCTGCTTATTTTGAATTTTTGCAAGCTGGAGATTTTTCATCTAATTCATCATCTACGTTTTCAAGTGGAGTTCCCAAACCTAACCTCAAAATATTTTTTTTATTATAAACTTATATAAACATAATATGGGCCATGAACATTTCACATGGACCATTAGCCACTTTAGCAGTTCTACTTCCTACGGCAGAGCCGACAGAGGATTCAAACCAATGAACTCAATGTAATTGATTCAAACTTGTGCAGGACCTATACAGAATCACAGAACCAAAGCCACAACATTGATTTTAATTATATTATTATTATTTATTTGTTTTTATCTTATTCCTGCATGGTATATCAATGCAATTTAATTATTACCTAATATCTAGCCATCATTCTTCAATCCACCCACACTACACACAGCAGGAAAGTCAACAGATCCGAGTTTAGATGGCTTCTTTTTGGAATTTGGCGGCAGGTATAGAGAATTATGGCGGCAGGTGTCAAGTTGACATAATGACATATCTCTTGACGTTCTCGCATCACAAGTTCACCACAACAAATTAAATCTCGAGTTCTCGACTTTGCAAACTCGAGATCTCGACTTTGTAAAGTCGAGATCTCGAGTTCTCGACTTTGTAAACTCGAGATCTCGAGATCTCGAATTTCACAACTCGAGATCTCGAGATCTCGACTTTCACAACTCGAGAACTCGAGATCTCGACTTTACAAACTCGAGATTTTAAAAAATATATAGAAGTGGCCCTCCCAGAGCTTCGTAATTATAGAAATAGGAATTGATATTTATAGCAAAAATTTAGCGATTTATTTTTAGTTCCTAAATGTTGGTGGTATATTTGTTAGGAGGGGTAATGTTCGTTCGGAACACATTTCATATTCACCAACCTCTTTACCTCTCCCAGGTTGATATGACCTTATATTTTCTTTGCGTTGGTCAAAATTATACAGGGTGCCCCTAAATAAGGTCTGTACAAAATCTTCTAGCACAAATTCCTGAGATCAAAATACCCCGACTTGAAGCAACTACACCAGGCATCTTAAACTTATCCAAGGCTGTATGCTGGGGTCCTTGGGCACACAAGAATTTAGGGCACTTTAGGAAAGTAAGTTTTAATTATACCTGATTATACTAACATCGTTGATTGATATATTACGCTTACGCTGGGAAGATGCCCAACCTGTGTTATTTGAGAGTCGATGCCCCGCTCATCCCCTCGTCTATCGTTTAGCCACTGTGAGGTAGCGACTCCACTAGGCACACAGAACATGTCTGAACTAATTGTACAGATTACTACACTTTTCTACAGAATTACAGATCTCCCATCCCACCGCGTGCTATCGCTCCAGAAATTTTTGTTTATCCTTGTCTTCTACGATGAGACCCGACCCGCCCGACCGGTTCCGATAAAAAATGTTTGCTACGGTCGGTGAATCCCATGGACGTATACGCAACCAACAATAACAACGGGTTGCGAGTATTGATTTTTCCCTCGGTGCCTTGCGGAAGAGAGAAGAACATATTATGATCTCTCACTCAGTTGGGTTCCTACTCCGTGGCGTTTTTTTAAATTCCTTTGTGAATAACTTGTCATACTTTGCCTAGACCAATATATATGTATATCTGGAAATACATCTCACGCCTTTTTCGTTGATTATTTTTTTCACTCAATTTGTATTCATATTGAAGGTTTGTATTAATAAGACATTACAAAATATTGATAATATAATCAATCTGAATGTGATAATTTCTTAGAGTCTCATCAGTAGATAGAAAATAAATAGTCAGATATCTTTGAATCTTTGATTGTTAATGGTTCACTATAAAAATGAAATAAAATACACCATCTATAATAGGCATATAATATACAGAGTGAGTCATAACTATTGGAACATATATAGAATTCATTTATTCATTGGATTACAAGAGTTGAAGCTGCAAGCTTATGAACCATTTTTTACAGTATCTAGTTGTTGAAAAAAATATGAATTCTTTTTTGGTATATTATTTGAAGAGATAAAAACAAAATCAACAAAAAACAGCTACATTTCCAGTCTATATGCCACGATATATAATCATGAAATCGGCGTTGATATTTTGTGATATACCAGTAACTTTTTCTGAGTAGAATCGATTTTGCCGCTCCAGAACAGCGGAGTACAGACTACACGGAACGCTCAGAATCTCCGCCCTAACAACACAGGGGTATATGTTCTAGGTACGTACCCTTTTTGTCACACGGTACAAGGACATAATTGGGGTATCCAGGGGATGTCCCGCAGTGGTTGTCCAGTGGACATCCGGCCCGGTACATCCATAGGTTATCCTATTCGTGTCCCTGGAATATCTGATATCTATTCACATCAGAGTCATTGACTTTCATCAAAATATTGAGTTGAATTTTTATGAAAATTTTTGGTTTTTTCCGGTAAATAATTGTAATGAAAATAAAGAAAATTGTCTCAGAACTTCTCGAGAAATGACCATTTTTCGCAAATAGAAAACGTAAATGCATATAATGCCCCTCATTTTTAAACATCCACGAATGATAATAATAATTATACCCAAATCCTAACAAAGTTGTATTTATTCAGGTTTCTGCAGTTTAGTCCTGTTTAAAAATCTGTTTGGCACATAAATCTTCAGAAGGCATATCAGCCAATGCAGTAAGGTGCGTGCCTGATAAGCTAAAGGTCCCGGGTTCAAACCCTACTCGACCTAATTTTTTTTCTTTTGTCGAAGGGATGTCCCTGGAATATCCTTGCTACCTCCTAGTGATATAATTTGTTCGTTCTTGGAACATCCCAGGGACGTACCAGACGGAAATCCCTTGGATGCTTTTTTTGTCAGCCAGCTGATGTCCCTGGGACGTCCCTAGTATGTACTCTGTCCCGACAAAGGATATCTCTGTAACGGTGCGTTTGTCGGTCGCCCCACAGAAGTCAAAGGAAATTATTGGCACTCCAAGTTTTGGCAATACATAGGTCGGATCATATACCAGTATAAAATACTTTGGATTGATAGCGGTATAGAATTGTCACGCAAGGTTTCGCGTTTTTCATGTGATAAATATCAGTAATTTCAATAATAAAAATTTCAAAAATTGTACATAGCTGTGACAAGAAAATGATTTGCGACAGTGAATTATAGTATGATTTAGTAATTTGACATAATGAAATATGAAATTCCACTCAAACAGACCCATTTAGATTCCATTCTAGGGTAAAATACACTAAGGTGACAACACTGGTCCGGGTTCGTGAATTTCAATCAAATTTATGAGCAGCTTATATATTGATATCTGCTGACCAGTTTATTCCACAATCGCCAAAAATGGAAGCATTTATTGTTGAGACATTAAATTTTGTGATTCACTCCAATTCGATTTCTATAAACTTTTTTCATGATCTCACGTCCGTGATGCGCTCGTTAGAAACACATCCAGTACAACTATTACGTTAATCTGTGCTATTACTAACAAATTCGAATTTACCGCCATATTAGTTAGAATCGTACTGATTGATCATGGATTCGATACAAGCGTTTCGGATTATGGATTGTTTAATTGTTCCAAGTCGCACGCCATCTGCATTCCAATAGATTCTCTTCGTAAGTGGCGCACCTGCCCGTCAAATTACGAAGTATTATTGCTCCGACATCGTTCGACACTATCGCCGCCACTATGTGAGATTTTGAACTATGGTACGCCATCTAGTTGTGAGATTTTTTTGGACCTCGTTTTGCCCCATAAGGTTGGGCATCTTCCCAGCGTAAGCGTAATATATCAATCAACGCTAACATTTTTCTATTATGATCTTCTATTCATGGGACACCCTGTATTTCTGTTTGTTCTTCTGTTTTCTGTGATTCTGTGTCGTCACTATCTGTCATTAGTGTCATTGTCTATTCTTGTCTCTTGTCAATCTTGTCATTTCTTCCCTTGATTCGTTTCGTTGCGTGAGTGATTTCTTGGTGATTTCTTTTAATAGCGAGGACATTTTCCTTGAAAATAATCTATTTATTTGCATGAAATTGCGATTTTCGCTGTATAATCAGTTCAATAAATGCCCGTATCTGAAACATAATGATTGTTGAACAAGTGGATTCCTTCAGGACATGGCTAACAGCTGTTCTAAAGCCAATGTAAGATGACCCCCTTTTTATGATTTTTATTATCTTCATCATATTATATTCTGTACACTTCAAATTGGTGATTTTTTCCTCTAGAATGGTGAACTTCATTTCAGCATTCAAATTTGTAGCACATACTAAAATACATTAACCTCAAAGATCAAACTACCAAAGTAGTGAGAATCTTGAATCTTGAATTCTAGGTGTGAAGCTGATCCAGCAGCATTAGCAAAATATGTCCTAGCATTGATCAAGAAAGATAAGTCTGAAGAAGAACTTCGAAAAAGTATGATTGGACAATTAGATGTGTTTCTTGAAGGAGGTAACATTAATTGTTCATTAATTTATGTGCTGGGTTTATAGATTCAACTAAACTAAAACTAACAACTTTGAATTTAAAAAGTTGAATACAAGGAAACATCTATGAGGGATTATACATTTATATCTGTCATTTAAATTAAGAATTACAAATGAGTTAGCCACCTTTCAACTTAACAACAATAAGAATTGGTAAATTCTGGAGGCAGAACATGAAGATTGGATTTGTTATTGTTCAAATGGAGATTGGTGATATTAATTGGAATATTTTATTTTAATGGATGCATGAATGGTGGAGACCAAAATCACTTTTTAACAACATTTTGATCTTTAATCAAAAGACATTTCACATTTAATTCGTTTAATTCTCAATTATTATCAGATACGTATAAACACCCTCATGATCATTAATTGTTGATTGTTAATTGATAATTTCTGATTGTTAGTTCAATTGAATCTATAAACAGCAATAATGATCCTAATCAATTATTGTCTCTCATTTTTATAACAGAAACAGAAGGGTTTGTGGACCTAGTATTTCAAACTTTAACCACAAAAGACTACATAGATGAACCAGTCATACCTAATACTAATCCACCTAATCCAAATATTGGAAAACCTGCCAAAGATGCTGTCAAAGAGTCCAAGGTAATTGTGCAACCCAGTGAATTGCCAAATTTGAATGAAGCTGTGAATGGAGGCATGAAGAAAGAGTTAGAAGTGAAACGAGATAAAGATGCCAGAAGAAGTTCAGATGCTGTAAGTATAGTTATTTCACTAGATATAGTAGTTGTATATACATCACACTGTATTGCCTAAATGGCCAGCTGGTCCTTCAACAGCAGTGGTGGAAAATTTGGTTTTGTTTCACATAAATTTTTCAAGTTAATTTCATTATATAAACCCAAAATATGTTGTTTCTTTCATTTTATTGATGATATTAAAATATCAAACTTAGCTTGTAATGAAGTCAATACAGTCCATAGTTATGCCCAGTTTTGGGACTAAAGATTCAAGTTGAATATCAGCAAACAATCTGTTTTTCATAATGGAATAATTTTACCTGGTGAATTGAAAAATATACCTGATGTAAGAAGATTTAAATTCAATCTCAAACAATACTTGGTCAGGACAATTTGATATTGATATTTGGCATGTTTTGATTACTCAGGATTGAAATGCTATAACTTTCATCTTGAGAAAAATTATGAATTTGTTTCCATTGAGTGGAATTCATTGGTCAACTTTTTTTTATCAATAACTTTTATATGTGTTGAGCAGTGTTGAGTGTGTCCAGTCTTCCATGCTTTTGCATGATGTCTCAGTTATCTTTGAAGATAGAGTGTTGTTTTTCACAGTCCTGTTTTTGAGATACAGGGTGAAGTTAAAAAGTCTCACTGTTTGAGCTACTCCCATATCTTGGTTACAACTTATCAGGAGGATGAGAAGGGGATCTGATATAACTTTCAATGCATAATACAGTGATCTCATTCGAACTGTATATAGGTAAATATACAGGGTGTCCCATTTTAAAACAATATTTTGGCATTATTTTCTAAACATGAGTGATTACAGAAATAAAATAAGTATGCCACTGTATTATGCATAAATAGTTATATAAGGCTTCCTTCTCATGTTGCTGATAAATTGAAAACTGAGAATTTTCAACTTTTCCCTGTATCTCATGAACATGAAGTTAGTTTCACATAAATTTTTGAATTTAATTTCATTATATAAACTCAAAATATGTTGTTTCTTTCATTTTATTGATAATATTAAAATATCAAACTGAGCTTGTAATGTAGTCAATACAGCCCAGTTTTGGGACTAGAGATTCAAGTTGAATATTGGCAAACAACCAGTATTTCATAATGGAATAATTTTATACAATTCATTACCATGTGAATTGAAAAATATACCTGATGTAAGAAGATTTAAAGTCAATCTCAAACAATTCTTGGTCAGGACAATTTGATATTGATATTTGGCATGTTTTGATTACTCAGGATTGAAATGCTATAACTTTCATCTTGAGAAAAATTATGAATTTGTTTCCATTGAATGGAATTCATTGGTCAACTTTTTTTTATCAATAACTTTTATATGTGTTGAGCAGTGTAGAGCATGTCCAGTCTTCCATGCTTTTGCATGATGTATCAGTTATCTTTGAAGATAGAGTGTTGTTTTTTTCCAAACAGAATTTTCACAGTCCTTCATGTTTTTGAGATACAGGGTGAAGTTAAAAATTCTCACTGTTTGAGCTACTCCCATATCTTGGTTACAACTTATCAGGAGGATGAGAAGGGGGTCTGATATAACTTTCAATGCATAATACAGTGATCTCATTTGAACTGTATATAGGTAAATATACAGGGTGTCCCATTTTGAAACTAAGAACTAGGTACAGTATAACTTATAGGCATATTATTTTTGTTCTTGTTTCCTACATATTTTTAATTTGTGGTTGAGTAATTGGAATTCTGGATCTTGAACCACCCTGTATCTGTTCCAATCAAATGTCAGTAGATAATGAATCAAAAGTTAAGATAGAAGTATGTGAGCCGTTTTGACCAATAATGAATAAATTAAGCACAAAAAAATCCTAAATTTCAAATATCCCTATTTTGAACACCCTATATCTCTGTAATCATTTTCGCAGACCCCTAGTGTGATAGATAGATGGAATCAGCTCTTCAGGGAGAATCTGAAAATGCAACAATATACTGGGTTTTTAAAAAATAGCAACTTTTGATAAGTTTCATGTTTTTGGCGCATCCTGTAGAACATGAGAATATTTTTAAAATGTAGCGCTGATAGGACCCTATTGATACCAGCACGTCACTTTTACTTTTCCTTCCTAGGGAGGAATAGAATGAAGATGATTTCTCAGGTTTGTTGTGAACATGTTGTTCAACAATCTAGATTCATTTCAGTCAAATACAAAAAAAATATTGGAGCCCTAACAAATCCCATGCTTGATCTCGTGCCTTGGGGCACCAAAACTCTTAAGATGGGTCTGCCTATTTCAACGTTTTTTTCAAATGAACATTCTCCTGGAAGTTATTCAGTCTGTTTTGTTTTCGTTGACCCACTCTGTATTATAGATATTCCGGGTGTCAAGGATCTATTAGACAAGCCATAACTTCTAAAATATTCCATGTATCAAAATGAAAATTGATATGAGTTTATGGTACATGGAATAGAACACCCTGTGTATTATAACATTTTTGAATTCCTGAAATAATTCTGGATCAGAATATGGAATTTTCGGAAGTTTTTGCGCCTTGTTAATTTTTTAGAGTCACTTAATATTTCATTTAAGTGGCCATGATCGGACGTAAACTTAAACCTAAGGACCTCAGGTTAGAAGATTATAATCGCAAAGTTTTATTGCCGCATTTGAATGATATATAAGGTGTTCCATTTGAAATAATTAACGCGGACATGATAATTCCAACGTGGATCACCATGTATATTCAATTCCCCCGTATGAATGTGGCAAATTGAAATCAAAACTCGACCTATTTCAAGAGATTCTCTAGAAATTGATAGTTTGACTGAAAATTGATTTATTTAGGACTTTGCTCACTGGTCTTGCTACAGAGGAAAAAACTTCTATTTGCTACCCAAATAACAAATGAATTTCAGTTTTTATACTTTAACGAAAGTGGAGTTACAATTCATCGAGGCTTAAGGGTATCTGCCAAGGGGAAGACACCATGGTAACGTGTCTGGCAACGGATGACGTGGTTTCTAATATAATCCCGAATAAAATATAAAAAAAATTACCCTTCATAGTATGACGAAAGTAAGTTGGTATTTTTAGCACCTTTGCTCCCTCTAACATCCCAAAGGCACCATGGCCTAAACTTCATATTTGCCCATCGCTGAGAATCTGTCAGCTTTTATAAAATATCAGATGGTCTGGCTTTCCTGGAATCTTGGTTACTATACTATAAGCGACATGGAAATATACACACAAATATAATAATATACAGAATACATCAACCTTGTTTATTTTTTAAATTGTTCTTATGATTAATAAACTTGTCAATGGAATAAAATCCTTAATCACTGAGGAATTATCTTGTCTTTTCTGAAATTCTGAAATCGCCCCTGGGCAGTTGCCCTTCGTGCCCAGTGGGTTGTTGATCCGGCCCTGATTGCTTGTCTAATAAATTTGTTGACACCCGGTATACAGGGTGTTTAATTAAGAATGGAAATCTCTGAACTACAGATAGTGAACACAAAAATAATGAGATTAAGCCCAATATGCCTGTTGAGAATGTTGCTGGTTTGGGAGATACAGGGTGTTCTAGGGGGAGATTTTATTTAAAAATTTCCCAATAACTTTGTTAGTTTTAACAGCATGAACATGAAATTTTGTATTTCTAGGTTTTCTGACTTGACGAATATGAATTTGCAACTTATTTTGTGATTGCTCATAGAGGACGCTAGTTGCATTCTGTTACTTCGATAATTTAAATAATATCTTCTACACAATTCATTGATGATCAAAATAAGTGGAAAATCTGAAAGCTCGTTCAATTTCACATGAAAAATATAATCTTCATCAACTGTCTAGCTTCAACGGTTTTTGTGTTATTCGCTCTTGACGAGATACATTTTCCGCTTGTGACATTTTAATAATTTTATTTATTAAATTAAGAATGGGAAATTTCTGAACTACAGATAGTAAACACCCAAATATGAAGATTTAGCCCAACATGCCTCATAAAACTATTGCTAGTGTAAGAGATACAGGGTGGTTAAGGCGAAGATTTCATTTCAATATATCTTCTCCTCAACCACCCTGTATCTCTTAAACAAGTAAGATTGTTATGAGGAATGTTGGGCTAAATCTTTATATTTGGGTGTTTACTATCTGTAGTTCAGGGATTATCAATTATAAATTCAATAAATAAAATTATTAAAATGTTATAATAGGAACATAAATCTCTTTCAGATTTTCCACTTATTTTGATCATCAATGAAATGACATAGAAGATTTATTTATTTATTTATTGATCAAATAACTTCCAGACAGAATAGGTTCTGGTATAAGCAAGTACATAATTATATACCTATAGGTAAACATAGCATCATTCAAAATATATCAACAACTGTAAATTGGCAAACAAAGATATGATGTAAATTATCGAAGTAACAGAGTGCTACTGGCACCCTCTATGAGCAATCACAAAATAAGTTGCAAATTCATATTCCTCATGTCAGAAAACCCAAAAATACAAAATTTCATGTTCATACTGTTGATACTAACAAAGTTATTGCGAAATTTTGAAATAGAATCTCCCCCTAGAACACCATGTATCTCTTAAACCAGCATAACATTCTCATCAGTGAATCACCCTGTATGATGTTCTACTCGCGACAATATCATTCCAAAACATCTCCAAATCCGCACTACCGCAGGAAAGAGAAGAAAGACTTCTGAGAAGAAGATCCCCTCTGCCGCGTCATCGCTCCTTGTCGCGCAATCGCACTCGCTCTCGCTCCCGATCCTGGGACAGGGTGAAACGCTCCCGATCGCGGGAAAAGTCCAAGGAGCGATTGGACAGGGAGCGACTGGACAGGGAGCGATTGGACAGGGAGCGATTGGACAGGGAGCGATTGGACAGGGAGCGACTGGACAGGGAGCGACTGGACAGGGAGCGATTGGACAGGGAGCAGCACAGAGTGGAACGGGACAAGAGGGAGAGGCTGGAGAGGCCAGACAGGCCTAAGGTGTGGAGGAACAAGTCTCCTCCTAGGAGGTATGAGAGGAGGAGACCGTCGCGTTCGCCGTCTCCATTGAGGGTCAGGTCTCGGTCGCGGAGTCCTCGGCATTCGCATAGGGGCAGGTGAGGCTTTGGATTAGTGTGTTGTTTTTGTTGGGTGTCCTCGGGTTTTGGATTCTACACCTTTTTCAGTTGTAATTCAGATATCGTCAATTGTAATTCGGATTTCTCAAATGAAATTTAGAAAGCGCCGGACTGAGTTTTTTGTAATTCAGATGAGTCTCACTTGGAATTCGGACTAAGTTATTTGTAATTCGGATAAGTTACATTACATTCCGACAAAATCACTTGTGATTCAGATTATTCAAGGGAAATTCAGAAACTTTAATTTTGATGCAGATTGGTCAAATGAAATTCAGAATGCCTCAAATGGAATTCAGATATCAAAAAATTCATAAAGGAAAACGCAATTTAAGGAAAAAATATATTACTTTGTAATTTATTGAATTTATTACACTTCGCTCAACAGGCAGAGTTTAAACCTTTCCATTTATTTCTAAATTACCAATGAAGCTTTCTGAATTTCAATTGACGATGAATTACAATATATATTTTCTGATTTTCAATTGACTAAACTGAATTACAAATGACGCTTTCTGAATTTCAATCATCTAAAAAAATTGTTTTTAAAAAAATGAGTGGTTTATTTTTTGTTTCTCTTCTTTAGTAATGTTCAATCAGATTTGTATATTTTTTGTAATTCTAAAAGTTACATTCAATGAAATTATATATAAATTTAGACAAGCTTCATGAACAGTTTTATACCAGTATGAATACTATTTTTCTTTTCATGCTATTGAAGAAGAAAAGTACTTTTTTATTGAATCAAAATTGAATTGAAATTCTATAAAGATCATCCTCTTATATACAAGGATCACATTTTGAATTTACACAAAAATAATTTATTATATACAATACAGAATATAGAAAATTTACTGAAGTTACTTAAACAACTATATTACACAGTATTAATAACAGAGCTAAAGAACTAAGGGTAAGTACATTTACAAGTGAAGCAAGAAGAAATACAATAATATTGACAGTGGCGCCAATTTTATTCACGTTTGAAATTTGACGTTTGACACCTTTGTAACCAACCTCACAATATGCAATGTCTAACTCTTGAAAATATAGTCAATTACTGATATGTATTCATTATTGTCTTATATTAACTAATATTACGTTTTGTATGGAAATTACCCAATCACCAGTGTAGATTGTATACAAAATGTCCAAAGAACCGAAGTTTAGTATATCCAATATCAATTGCAGAATATCTCGCACTATGCGGCGTCGGCGTGTTTGGAGTTCCCTCTGAAGTGACTGCAGGTGTGGCACGAGACTCTGCAATTGTTTTTGGATAAACTATACCCCTATCGTAAAACATTTGTGCACGAATTTTCGAAATTTCGATCTTGAACAGAGACATAATTGAAATAGCGAATCAATCGGCTCTTTAGTGTTTTCCAAAACATTGAAGTCAGTGTGTTTTCTTACTTTGTCTGAATTGTATTTCTTCCATAAGATTCAGGATGAGGTCTTCAGCTAGTGGCAGCAGGTCCAGATCTCTCGAGAAAAAAGACCGCCGAGATTCGGCGAAAGAAAAAGATAAAGACGGCAATAATTCTAGACCGAACACACCTATATGTGTATATAACAAACTTTAAAATCACTTATTCTCATTATTTCTCCCCATTCTAAGAACATTTATATCTGTGGCCCTTGCTTTTGGCGCTTTTCGGACAGAGACTAATGGTACTGGTGATTTACTTCACCCACGCCTACAAACTGAGTTTGTAAGGAGGCCTGGGTTGCAACAATGAAGAAAGGCACAGGAGGTGCCAACTTCGGGATCTACCATAAACCAGGGGTCAATGTTATTGATCAGACCTGGATCAGTACCATTTGTAAGCATACTCGGACTCAAGGGTCTCAAGAGAATGTAGGCTTCAATTACAAACCCTGGAACTGGTTGCTTTATTCACATCCTATTCAGTATATAGGCGATAGCTATTCAGAGTGCTGGTAGGACAACACAATGAACATTTCCTATCACTCACCGGTTTTCTGCTGGAGATGGATACAGTCAGTCTTTTTAAATGTTTTGAAGAGTTTCAGACGAGATTAATATGAATATTCGTGGACAAGTGAATACCAATTTGAATAAACGCTAGTAATCCATTCAAAAGTCCTTAATTTTTAAAGATTAGCATCTATGTTGATTTTTAACTTGATGCTATCAAATACAATCAATTCACAATTCGCTTGTTAGTTTTACTCGTGATTGTGTTTCCTTATATTTTGTCTAAATCGTATTTCTTCCATAAGATTCAGGATTAGGTCTTCAGCTAGTCGCAGCAGGTCCAGATCTCTGGAGAAAAGAGACCGCCGAGATTCGGCGAAAGAAAAAGATAAAGACGGCAATAATTCTAGACCCAACACACCTAGTCAGGATTTCAGTCACGGTAGCGAAGTGGATGCGAGACTGTCGATCGGTCAGAATGTACAAAATTTGCCGCCAGGTGGCAAGAAACGGTGCAGAGATTTCGATGAAAAAGGTGAGAATAACGTTCGTATACTCCAGGGGGTGAATCTTTTTTTTTATCGCTTGGAGCGCACATAAAGATAAAAAATATTCCCATCAACATGTTTCCGAAAATGTTTTCTAATGGCGCTATAACCCTTTGAAGGTAGGCCCTTGAATGCAGTTTTCTTCATTGGGCTTATATCACAAAAAAAATTATTTCATAATTCGATAGAACTCACCCAAACTAGCTCACCACCGCAAACTGTTTCTTGCTGTGAGCTCCCTACGTTTTATAAAAAATTATTGAGATCCCTGAATTTTCGGACCTCTGAAAACGAGGCGATGATGTGACGTCAAAACCCTAATACTGAAACAAGACTATTCCAGACAGAGATGAATGATACATGATTTCTGACAGAGTGAATTAGCGCGAGATCACAGTTGAAATAATAATTAATATATCAGTTGCCTCAGTCTCCGTCGGGCGTTTGGTATTTTCTTTTAACTATGGCGAGATAAGGTTTCTACGTCATAAGAGGGCCCGTTTTCAGAAGGTACTATTATTTATGTCCAAAAATGAAACATTCCAGTTAATTTTTCGATCGAATTATGTCGTCAATCATTATTTATGTATAAATGGATCATTATAAACATGGTTTGAGTTAAAAGTTCTACTAAGGTATACACGCCCATTGCCTAGGTTTATAAAGATTTCTTGTTGGTTCCAAGTAATCTATACCTTTTCAACTTCAATTTCGGAATCGGTGAGTTATATTTCGGAAAAAGTAATCTCGATTTCAGAATTGGTTAGTTCGATTTCAGAAATGGTAAACTCAATTTCAGAATCGGTGAGATGAATTTCAGAAGAAGTCCATTAAATTTCAGAAATGGTAAGTTTTATTTCAGAATTATTATTGGTAGGTTCAATTTCAGAAGATGAAATCCTTTTATATGTTTGAAATGTTTTTAATTGCAAAAGACGAGACTGTTTACAGTGGATGGAACGGTGTTTGAGAGCCCTATGTTGAATCAGATTGAACATAATATATGGGGTGCCTTCAAGTCAGAAGTGAAGAGCTTCTTGCAAGAGCATCGCCAAAGGGTCATAGCTGGAGATCCGAACAGATTGCTCAACCAGATAGAATTCAGACTGTGATGTCTTGAAGAATGTGCAGATCATTCAATGAACATGATAACACCTCAAATGTGTTTGCATTCTTATAATCATGTGCAACGCCACTATCTTTCAGCGATTCAGATGGAAGGCATCTGTGGATTAAATTGTTTTTGAAAAGTTGAATATTTTAAATATGGTTTGTTAATCTCACATGCAATTGGAAACATTTCGAACAAATATAAGGATTTTTTTTATGATATTTTTTTTTTCAGTTATTGCATTAAATTCTCTTCTTCATTGATACATTTCATACAAATAATATATAAAGTATAATTAATTTTCTAGTAGGAATGACATGAATGATCAGACAGTAATTCCTGGTATAAGATCATTCATGAAGTATTATCGACTGTTGTATAATTGAAATTACAAATAGTGAACAAAACTTACATATCATTAAGATACAGACATATTATTGTGAACAAGAAGGGGAAAAATAAAAACAGTGAAAAAAAAAAAAGGAAATTCATAGTCTTTCAGCTTTGATCATTCCTTTGCATATAAATATATTTCTTAACTTTATTTTTGAATTGCATAATATTTGGGCTGTTTTTGATATCATCTGGTAATTTATTGAATTTCGAAATCGCCTCATGTGTAAACTTTTTTTGTCCAAGATTAGAATTTGCAGCTCCAAGATGAAACAAGTTATATTGTCAAGTGTGATGATCATGAATTTCGGAATTCCTGATTAATATAAAATTTGATTTAAGCTTTTTGTTGATGATATAATAGGAAATTTTGAGAGTATTGATTGAAAAGTGCTCTTCTAAAGAAAATGTGTTTGTTTCCTTATACAGTTGATTCGTTGGAGTATCATATGGAAGACGATACAATACTTTCAATGCCTTTTTATATAGAACAGAAATTTTGTTGAAACTATTTTTGGAACAAGATCCCCAAACATTAATGAGATAGTTAATTCGACTGAGTATATGTGAATAGAGAATAATATGTGATGTATATGTACTAAGTTTAGGACATCTTCTCAAAGCACCAATAATGGGAGATACTTTTCCTATGAGGATGTCAATATGCTTTCCCCATGTTAATTTCTCATCAATCCAAATACCAAGGTATTTGGTATTGGCAGTTTGTTTCAAACGTTCATTTTTTATTCTAATATTCAGATCAATATTTTGTTTATTTCTTTAACGAAAAATCATATATTGAGTCTTATTAGAATTGAGAGAAAGAAGATTGGAATAAAGCCATTTCTCAACTTTTTTCAAGTCCTCATTTATGATATGTTCTAGAACTACTGGGTTTTTATTGAACCTACCAATTCTGAAATACAACTTACCATTCCTGAAATTGAATGGACTTTTTCTGAAATTCATCTCACCGATTCTGAAATTGAGTTTACCATTTCTGAAATCGAACTAACCAACTCTTACCGATTCCGAAATTGAAGTTGAAAAGGTATAGAAACGTGGAGAGAAAATCTTTAAGGAGCAAGTAAAATGAGTGCATTCAAGGTGTTGGAAAATCAAAATTTATCGCATTCCCTAGGCTATTGTATGCGCGGCGAGATGTGCCCCTTCGACCACGGCATCGATCCCGTCGTGCTCGAAGACTCTGCCTTAACGCGCGTCCTCACTTACCACCCGAACGGCGCGCCCGGGGCGGGCGGCGGGGCGGGGCCGCCGCCCGGCGTGCTGCCGCCCCACCCGCCCGCGCCCATGATGGGGCAGCACGCCGGGCACCCGATGCCGCCGCCGCAGCCCGATCATCCGTACAACCCACAGGCGCCGCAGATATGGCGCGACGGGCGGTTCAGGGGTGCCAGGCCTATGGGAATTGCCAGGGTGAGTGCTAATTATAATAATGTTTGTTGAGGGATATTCTTGAATCCTGTTATGTTTTTGATTTGCAGACTTTTTCTTGGGGTTTGGATTCGGTTTCATAAAATAAATCGGGAATTAAGTAGAAAAAAACGTTTCGTCCATGGCCATGGGCTTTGTCAATTTATTGGAATTTTTTGGCACTGTAAAATAATGGTTTACATTGTAGGGTGATGGTGATGAAACATGAATCTAAAGAAAAAAGAGAGATACGTACCTCAACCAATTCATGATTCACAGCAAGTGTGGTCCTTTTGTGAATATTTTTTTTTTATTTAAAACATATTGTTAGTTTTTTTTAAATTTTTCCTTCTTTCTTCTTTTGGAAGGAGTTGAACATTTTTGTAGCATCGTTTTATATGATAGAAAAACGAGGGAAACTACAATTTGTTGAGGTTAACTTGGACTTGTTGATCACATGACTATGTAAAGGACATTTGACTGACATTACAGAAAGATGACAAGAATGACATGGAACAATTATAGAGAACATATGTCAGATAGGAGTTTTCTTCTTCTTTTTTGTTGTTCTTTTAACATTGATAATGCACAGTGTTTTATAAATTTTGGTAGGTGTGGATGCAGTAGTGAAAAATTGGAATTGAAATAGTGGGACCTGTGGTTATAGAATAGTCTGATAGATACTACTTAGATTACTGATATCTGTTCTGTCGTTCATCGAATTAGTGTCTTTTTTAATATATATATCATTTCTTTTATGCATCTCTTGTAGTAGTTACTTTCATAATCAAGAATTTTAACATTGTTAAAGGAAGTGGTATGATCATTATCCATTAGATGTTTAGTTAGAGCGGTTGGGTTTTGTTTGTTGTAGTGATGTCCTTTCAATCTGTTTTCTAAGTATTGTGTTGTCATGCCAATATACGTTTCATTGCAATCATTGCATGGAATGGAGTATATAAGATTTGAATTTTTTAATATTGGGGTTTTGCTTTTAAGTTTTGAAAAAAATTTGTTTGTAGTGTTATGGGATTTATGACATGTATCAATGTTAAATTATAATAATGTGTAACAGAATCCTACGAGCTGTAGATTCCTATTTGGGTACTATACAGTGTGTCCCACTTACCATGCTCACCATGGGTATCTTTTTAACGGTGCGAGATACGAGGTCGGTTAAATGACACCAAATGTGGAGTTTGTCAAGGCCAACTATAATGTGAAAAAATATTTTGATAAAATCTATTCGTTTTTGTTTTATACGCAAAAAACAGATTTTGATCATTTTCATGTCTCCTCCGTAACTTCTTTATTTATGAAAATATTCAAATAGAAATTTCACAATCTCATGGCAGTTTTTCAAAGTGATTTCGAAAAGAATATGAAATTTATACCAACTCTTCTAGAATTTGAGATATCACCATCAACTTTAGTTTTTCAAATGTAGGTCATAGCTCACTATGACTTAGTTACAAATAACTTTATTTTATCTTACAGATGATATGTCACAGTAATAGTTTTGTGTTGATAACAACGGAGTTATCGTCATTTATACCAAAACAAAAAATTATTTGTAAGCCGCCATCTTGAATTTATAAATTTTAACAAAAAAATAATGATCTCCGACCTCAAAAACCCCCACTTACCAATTTTGAATGGAATCGGACCAAATCTTGTCCGCCAGCCATTTTTTTTTTTAATTTCAACAAAAATTCCATAATGTACTGTCACCGAAATTATGAAATCCTGCCAAATTTCAAGTTAATCGGAGTTATGGAGTTTTTGTTGAAATTAAAAAAAATGGCTGCTCCAAGATGGAACAGGACACACCTCATTCAATGATGAAACAGCAGATGAAACATTGAAAGATAGTGACAATAATTTGAACCTGATGGAGAGGAAGAACATCTGGGATAGTAAACAGACGCTTTTGTTCATTGATATATGTGGGCACAATAAGGACCGATTAAACAATCCTAAATGTAGAAAAACGGAAGTATACAAAGAAATATCTGATCAAATGAAAAAGAATGGACACTTCTTCTCAAGTGAACAATGTTTGAATAAAATGAAAACACTAACCACCAAGTACAAAGAGATACGAGATTTCAATGCCACTGGAAACAATCCTAAAAAATAGGCGTATTTTGATATACTGACAGAGTATTTTGGAGATCGTCCAGATATAGTAGCCAGAGTATCATGTTCAAGCTTGAATATAGCTCAAAATAATCAGAATCTTGTGATAGTGAAGAGAAGGGAAAGATGGTTTAGAACTCAGGAGAGACAAAATCCAACAAAAGAAATGGTTTCTTGGCTCAAGGATTACAAGAAAGAAGTGCAAGAAAGAGAGGAAAGAAGGCTGAGTATGGCTGAAAAGCAACATAATGAGAATAAAGAGATCTTGTCACAAATTTTAGATTTGTTAAAAAAAATCTTCAGATGTTGATGCACCTGCACCAGAGTGATATCAAGAATATATATATATCAGAGACCTTTGGTACAACATTTATTCAATGTGAATATTCAGTGTACTTTTAAGTTATTTGTTGATAATTATTGCTTGTTATGTGAAATTAAAATTTTTTCATTGTAGTCCAGTTTCATATAATTTTATCCTTCTTCTTACTTTAATATTACCAACAAAATATCATATGCAAATATCTTGTAATTGGGTATTGAAAATATTGGGGGCCAGGTAGCCGTGCGGACAGAGTGTCGAACCCCCGGTCGTGGGTTCGAATCCCATCGACTGCAGAAATTTGTCTGATGGCCCAAGAAATTATTTGGGATCACACGTTAAAAGGTAAGGCCCCCGTCATTTCTTGCTCGCACAAGACTCTCGAAGACTTCTGAGGGTCGCTCGTAAGGGGGTAATCGAACAATTTTAGAACAATTATAAGAATGCTATATCTTCATTCCATGTTGGAAAGCAATTTCCCACAAGTCGAAACTTTTATGGGGAGTTTGATGCATTAAAATTGTGCACTATCTCTGATAAACTGAAGAATGTGTTCTAGGATGGACATAGGGACATACTGAAACTATCAGGTGACAACTTGAAAAAGAATAATGATGTTTATGTGTCAACTTGACGAACCGACCCTGACAATCACAAAAAACGAATTGTCGTTTCATTGGCTTTTCCTACACCTTTCACCAGTTGTAAACCAAAAAACGCACCTCGTATTGGTGGGAGAATATTCCCAGCATAATTTTTTTTCGTGCAATTCGCGCCAGGTGCCCCCGATGGGTCCGTTCCCGCCCCCGCCGCCCCACAACCGCGAGCTCATCCCCGTGCCGGTGATGGACAGCCACAAGCCGCCGCCCGATATGTACACGCCCATGTACCAGCAGCACCGCCCCGGCTACATGGACCACGACGGCGGCTACAGGAAGAAGCAGTTCGACTTCAATCGGCTGGGGCCGCGCGCGAAGAACCCGCAGAACTGCTCGTTGGAGTTGAAAAAGGTATTTATTTGGCAAAAATATCCAATATATAAATCAATCTTCTAAAACTTTCCACACTTCATTGACTGACTGTTACTTCAAGACCGTCCAAGTCATTCATTACGTTCAGAGAAGTCATGTTGAAGCTTGAAACACTTTAGATTCTAGACTAGTTATAAATATCTGTAACTATCATCATTCTTATCAAAATCAAATATCACATTAGTAGAATGTATAGAAAACTTATCATCACCGGGAATAAAATATAAAGAAAAAAAATCAATTGCATGAAGAAATAACTTATTTTAATCGAAGGCTTAACACGACTTATAGATTCGATATATCTCATTCTCGATAGCTATAGTGCTAAATTAGGTCCATACATTATAAATATGATTAAAGGACCCCGCACCATTTACATTGAAATTTTGGTCCAAGGTCCGTTATGCCCGTTAAAAGAAAATATAAGCACTCGAAGCCAAACAAGATAAGCTCTCTACTAAAACAGCACATCCTGTGTGTATTATGGTTTTGGCTAATATGATACTTTTGAGTTGTCAGATCATTGTCTGCTAAATATGGAGAAAAAAAATCTAGTGAGCTGGACCTACTGGCCTTCCCTATAACTCAGTTGAGTGTAGGACCACTTAAAATTTCGAAATTTGTGTTTATGTAAGTTGTCACTGGTTGTCAGTGTCAAGAGCTGTCATGCCATCGTGACTTGTTTTGTATTTTGTTCTAAAATATTATTCTTTTTCAATTCTCATTGTTCTAATATTCTTTTCGTTTATAGAATAGTTTTGTGTTGTGCTCCCAGTATTATAGTGGTTTATTCTGATTATCAATGTGTAACAAACTCTGTCTCTTCTTATTGTGAAGCAGTAGTAATTATACTTTCCTTGAGTTCCCATAGTTTCGAATATGAAAGATGTGGATCTCTTCCTTGGTAAACATGTTTCCTGCATGCAAGGTAGTATTCAAGATACAGGATAAGATCTGTGGATAAGATTCTTCATGATTCCTTTCCTTCTATTATAGCCATATATTTGCTTATTCCTGATGAATAACTTCATTTCCACAATTGATACACAGCTGAGCACATCAAATAAACTGCACAAACCATAAAATAGGAATCACTGCTCCAGTCACTGCTTTCCGAGCTGCTTTCACTATTTATGTTCCCACGCTTCACGCCATCATTATCATGATCAATATGCATAGACTTCCGTATTTCGTCCAGGGCAGTAAGGGCCAGTATGACAGTAAGGGGACTCGGTCTCTACATATTTGTCATCTCCATTATCTGCATGAACTATTTTTGAATTGTTGAGTGACTGAGTGACCGTGTCCCGTGAATGTCGTGACTGAACTCACACTCACTAAACAAACTTCGCCGCCAGCCGAGACTGTCGAGAGCACCGCTGAGAGGGAGTCTCAACTCATTTACGATTTTTAAGGTTATGTAACAGGAAAACAATTGAATTGAGTGTTTCCTCGAGTTGACCGTATGGAGGTACTACTGTATCGGCCACAGAACTCTGTAAGTGATTTCCCTTGTTTGGGCAGACCACATACTCCAGCTCACTAGATTTTTTCTCCATATTTAGTAGACAATGTGTCAGATAACGGTCATTCATGTTATGTCAGTGAAAGTCATTGAGCACAAGCGTATTTCTTCGATCGAGATCAAAATGTTGAGCAGCAAGCAATCGCAATACATCGTCGACAGGTTCTAAGAAAAAAGGATATACCCCTAACCAATCGTACTCGGTTATTTCTGAACTAAAATTGATGCATTATAGAGGAACTTGGAATTCGAGATAACGTTCATTCTATGAATCTGAATGTTGTCATTCCCATCCATGCAAGAGTGTGCATATGTTGTGGCGCAAATAAAAATTTACTTCACCTATCATTAGTTGCTAGAGTAAGTTATACCTCAGCCCCCACCTCGGTACAAAGGGAAGAAAAGTATGTCAAGATTGTCAGGTCAAAATCTCGAACAGAGGACAGAGTCTTAAGAACACTCAACTGAAAGGTCAACCAGGCAGCCAAGGAACGGAGCGCCAGCGCTCTCATTACTGGCGCTAGCAGTCCCAAGCGACCGGGTACTGTCGCTTATAGACTATATAGGTAGGTAGTTTGATTTTTTCATTTTTTTAGCTTGGGGCCAGCTGCTCGGAGGAGGGGAGATGTGTCACATCTGGTATATAAAACGAATAATTCATTGAACTCATAAAGGAATATCCACCAAAGAAAATATAATTCTTCAGTATATAATTATTATCAGTCATTCACATTTTTACAAGTAATTCGAACCCAGCTCATATTTCACAGACTGGAACTGCGTAAGCTCCCGGGCATAATTCATCGAACTCGAAAGTTCACCTATGAGGTAATGAACTCAATCGATATGATTATTGCTGATTTTGCTAACTCGACAAGTATCGACTATAAAACATTATGAGTATTGATTTTACGGGACAGAACAAACTAGTACGGTCATCCGCGCCGGTAGTTTTTTCACCCTGGTAGCAGACTCAAGTACAACCCTAGAGCTATGGCGAGGCACAACTCCTCATCCACCAGAGCGGCAATGGTATTGGCAATGTGAGTACTTATTTTAACGGACATTTCTTGTTCAGTATGATTTGATCTACCCAATCCTAGATTTTCACAAAATTTCACCATAGACAATATTTCGATGTAAATGGTGCGGGGTCCAATTTATCGCTACTAATTATTTCGGGGCATCACAAGGTGCCCACCGGCCTGAACAGCATCACCCACCTGAACAACCACTTTTCGCGCTTCGGCAAGATCGTCAACATCCAGGTGCAGTTCGAGGGGGACCCGGAAGCTGCGATGGTCACGTTCTCCAGTCACGCCGAAGCGAACGCTGCTTATCGGAGCACCGAAGCGGTGCTCAACAACAGGTTCATCAAGGTGTTCTGGCACAACGCCCTGGAAGGTAATCAATCATCGAGGATTGTTCACTCAGCAGGATGTAAATTGACACACGGCAAACCATGCCAGAGGCGGATTCAGAATTATTTGATTACCAGGTTTTTGTGGCTTTCTTGAAAGAGCAGAACATTGCGAAAAATGCATATGATATTTGTTATGATGAATTCCTTTATGTTATTAGGAGTAATGGTTCGATGTATTTTCCATCAACTGAAGTGTTCATTGGATAGAAATGGGCGAGCTAATATACAGGGTGATTCAGGCTATATTAGCAATAATTCACCATGGTTCTTCAAAATATAATAATTTTTTTGAAAAAGCTCTTCCAGGGAGATACATCCCTCTGAAATCCAGTTTAAAAAATCTTTTTCTTGCTATAATTCATAGGACATAAAACAAAATTTGGTGCAAATACTTATGAAATGGTTACTCTGATCCTTGTTTTATGCAACTAAGTTTTGTTAAAATTGTCCAGTGGAGTAGATCCCTGTTCAATTCAGAAAGAAAGACACTCTTGTGGAATTTTGAATTGGAGCTTCGTTTAAGAGTTGATATGAATTTAAAAAAACTTCTCAATAGTGGCATATTGAATCTCGAACCAAGGCAATCATCCAAGCAACGTGGCAACTCTTGGTTAGCCTTAAATTTGATTCAATATCATTTTATTCCAGAGATCTGTAACTTCTTGCCAGATATTTTAGTTTTGGTAATTCGATCATGACAATAGGCATATGCTATAAATCATAGGAGTGGAAAATTAGCATTTTTTCTTAATTAATGTTTTTCTATTAGACAGAGCTGCCATGGAATGAAATTTGACATTTTCATAGGAGATGGGATTTTGTGAAATAATAACACAAGAATGTCATTGTGATATCAGATACGGAATTAACATTGATGGCATACAAATTACCTCATTGATTTATCGAACAAAGTGAAACAATAGCCATTGTGTGTTTAAGCTATAGTAAAAAAAAATTGTTGGCGATATAAATTCACCTGAACTTAGACATTCCTGGAATTTGTTCTTTATCTTGTCACTAAATCATTCATTTTGAAGACACTGTACCCAAATCAGTCAATGAAAGTCGAATCAAATAATAATCTCAAATTCACTAATGAAAAACATTGAACGCAAAGCAGAACACTGAAAAACTGGGACTAATCCGGCCCTGTCTTGAGTCTACGTCAGACAAAATGACAAAGGCACATTATCACACAGTTGCCTGATGAACTCGTGAGAAATTTGAAGTTCATAATAATTCATCGATCTCTTGTTAGCTATTCAATTAATATCAGTGAGTCTATGAATTTTGTCGTGAAAATTTCATAATATGATTTTTGTTAAGCTGTTGATAATCAGATACAAGAAGTTTTCTAGGAATTATGAACTACATCCTAACGCATAAATATGAGATTTGCGTATGAGAATATATAACTGACAATGTTGCCGACAATGTGCGCATGATCACCATTGTCGCGAGCACACTGGTTGTATCAGATTTCAGCGATTTCTCACACTTATTGTTTATTGTTCATTGAAAAACTAGGTCTATGAGTTCTGTGTAAATATCTTGTTAAGATCAATTGAAAATGCCACTTGTGATTCCATTTCAATTGTTTTTATTAACTTTCTGAGATGATGTTGACAACTTTCATTTCAAAATGGTCTGATTTCTTGAGTAAGTTAAATTACTACGTCACCCTTGCGATTGAAAACTGTTCAAAATCAATCTTCAACACGGTTCAACAAGAGAAAATAACTCTGAAAACGATATCCAAACAAACAGGTAAACAGGAGAACGTGCCGCCCCAGTGCCGCCCACTCAAGGACCGCCTGGGCGGCGGGCAACCTAGCGTCGTGGCGCCCAACACTAACAAAGTTCTGAATCTAGTCCAGCCGAGGGCGGACTCTGCCGACCCTGCTGCGCCAGGAGGCGGAGCAGAAAGTGGGCAGCAGGAGGAGGAGAAGCCTGCCAGCCGCGAAGAGAGCAAAGCGCAGGCCACCGAGGCCATCAAGAAGAACCAGGAGCTGCTGGCCACGCAGGCGAAGGTCAAGCGCAGCCAGGACGTGCAGCGCAAGGAGGTGCTGAAGATGCAGAAGGATCTGAGGCGGAAGAAGCAGGAGCTGTTGGACAAGCAGCTGACGCAGCAGCGGGTGCTGATCGAAAAGATGGAGAAACGTGAGTTTTTTTGTTCATATGTAATACCACAAGTGTTGATATTTTGCCGGAAATATTCGATGATTGTTACGACAGCTTGTTGCCTAGTAATTTCGTGAATGACATTGTTATCAAAACTACAAGCCGTATATGTTTATATGCACATTTGTCCTCTCTTGTTGGCTCATTTTCTCCATCAGTAGGTACCTACCTATCCCTTATTCTGTATCTACTATTGTATTCTACAAACTTTTTGATTACAACAAAATTATTATGTGAAATACCCTTATTTGTCAAACATCCCGAACATTCCACCACGCATTCGATGTTCTGAGACCGAATGGCCAGTGCCACCAGGATGATAAGAAATTCTACAGAATAGTCAATAAAACGGCACTAGCAATGCCAATAAAACGCAAATATTATTAATATAGGCGATTAGCATTCCATTTGACCGAAGCGAGATCTCGAATGGTCTAAGGATCGATTCCTCTAGCTCCCTAATGGTCACAAAACGTGGCATACCACAAGGTTCAGTTTCGCGACCACTTCCATATCGCTCATCGCATAAATAAGCGAAACCTCGTCGTAATTCCAGTGCCGGCCGATCCCCAGCGCGACCTCATCAAAGAAACCATCAAGAAAACCCAAGAGGCTATCAAGAAGGACCTAGAGGCGGCAGCGCTGGCCTCCAAGGCCTCCTCCCTCCCCAAGAAGTCCAAGGACTGTTTCTAAGCTAGTGTTTTACCATAAATAGTAAAATGTTTTATTAGGAGCAGAAGTGACACTTTGTTTGACAAGCAAATTTTGCATTTACGAGGCGGAGCGTCTAACGGAACTACATAGTGCCGGAGCCAAGGCGTAGCCGAGGCTAGGAAACCAGCTGCACTAGCCAGAGCTGAAAGTGGTAATTGAGTGTTCTGATCTGTACATCGAATTGAATTATTCTTTGTCATGTTTTCAATGAATTATCTTTCTATTCATTACATCTCTAGTGAAGTTGAGTGATTGAAGCTTAAGGATTTCAAAATTCCCACCGTATTGAACTATGAAATGTTGACATGCGCAGTAACAATCAGTAACAATGCAGATATATTACCTTCTTCGTTTAATGTCGGCTTATTTTCCACACTTCACATCATTAACATGGGCGATTAGCATTCCATCTGACCGAAGCGAGATCTCGAATGGTCTAAGGATAGATTTCCGCTAGCTCCCTAATGGTCACAAAACGTGGCATACCACAAGGTTCAGTTTCGCGACCACTTCCATATCGCTCATCGCATAAATCAGCAAAACCTCGTGGTAATTCCAGTGCCGGCCGGTCCCCAGCGCGACCTCATCAAAGAAACCATCAAGAAAACCCAAGAGGCCATCAAGAAGGACCTAGAGGCGGCAGCGCTGGCCTCCAAGGCCTCCCCCCTTCCCAAGAAGTCCAAGGACTGTTTCTAAGCTAGTGTTTTACCATGAATAGTAGAATGTTTTATTAGGATCAAAAGTGACACTTCGTTTGACAAGCAAATTTCGCATTTACGAGGCGGAGCGTCTAACGGAACTACATAGTGCCGGAGCCAAGGCGTAGCCGAGGCTAGGAAACCAGCTTCACTAGCCAGAGCTGAAAGTGGTAATTGAGTGTTCTGATCTGTACATCGAATTGAATTATTCTTTGTCATGTTTTCATTGAATTATATTTCTATTCATTACATCTCTAGTGAAGTTGAGTGATTGAAGCTTAAGGATTTCAAAATTCCCACCGTATTGAACTATGAAATGTTGACATGCGCAGTAACAATGCAGATATATTACGTTCTCCGTTTAATGTCGGCTTATTTTCCACACTTCACATCATTAACATAGGCGATTAGCATTCCATCTGACCGAAGCGAGATCTCGAATGGTCTAAGGATAGATTTCCGCTAGCTCCCTAATGGTCACAAAACGTGGCATACCACAAGGTTCAGTTTCGCGACCACTTCCATATCGCTCATCGCATAAATAAGCGAAACCTCGTCGTAATTCCAGTGCCGGCCGGTCCCCAGCGCGACCTCATCAAAGAAACCATCAAGAAAACCCAAGAGGCCATCGAGGCCATCAAGAAGGACCTGGAGGCGGCCGCGCTGGCCTCCAAGGCCTCCCCCCTCCCCAAAAAGTCCAAGGAGGAGGCGCAGCGGGAGCTGCTCGACACCGAGTTGGATCTGATTGCGAAGCAGCAAGAGGGGGCTGACACCTCCGAGATCCAGAAGAGGTTGTTGGAGTTGAGGGCGAGGGTGGCGAATGTGAGAGGCGGCAGCAGAGGGGCCAGAGGGGGCAGGAGGTACACGCCTGTGGTCAGTCGGCACCTGTTGAGCAAGAACAACCTCAGTAAGTTTTTTTCTTCACAGGGATATTGTTAAACTGTGGTGATTGAATAAGGTTTGCGATGAAAGGGTATCTCAAATTGAGTGTCATTAACATCGTAGGAAAGTTGGCGATCTGGCTCTATTTTATAGATATTTTCATAGAAGATGTTTTTCTGAAATATCAACAATGTTTACCTCCCTTGACAGTCCCCGCGAGATTAACCCGTCAAGTTGAGTCGCACCCCTCGTGGTCACTTTGGTGACCTGCAGAACGTCTCTTCCCAAAGACTCGTTCATCCAACGAACGGCGAGGCTCTGGAACACATTGCCAAGGGAGGTGTTTCCTGAGGCATATAACCTCCAGAAATTCAAGAAGAACACCAATTCCTACCTTATTTCCCTTGGTTCTCACAATGTTCTCTGAACATTACAGGATGTCCCTTTTCGTGGGAACCAGAACATAAAAAAAAATGATATTGATGGATAAACTATGGGTTGCGTGCAAGAACTGTCAGATGACCGACCCTGTAGGTGTAACATTGACACTCAACCTCACTTTTCTTATTTGTTTACAAGTGATTGAAATAGTTTTTCACAATTATTTTGGCATACGAATCCTGTTTTTCGGCTATTCATTAAATCGCCCATGCCATCGTATTGTGCTGTTGTACAATGCACAAAAAATGCAGCGGGAATGCTGATTGCCCTAAAAATCCCAAAAAATTCGTAGGCACTTATTCAGACCCAAAACGAAAGAATTTGATGCCAGGCTTGATAGATAACTCTCCCTGTAGATTTTCAAAATCAGCGGTTCAAGCAATGCTGTAGGCTCGTATAGGTGGAAAAATTATTTTTTTCCTGATTGCCCTAAAAATCCCAAAAAATTCATAGACACTTATTCAGACTCATAAAGAAAGAATTTGATGTCAGACTTGATAGATAACTCTCCCTGTAGATTTTCAAAATCAGCGGTTCAAGCAATGCAGTAGGCTCATATAGGTGGAAAAATTATTTTTTCCTGATTGCCCTAAAAATCCCAAAAAATGTATAGACACTTATTCAGACTCATAAAGAAAGAATTTGATGCCAGACTTGATAGATAGCTCTCCCTGTAGATTTTCAAAATCAGCGGTTCAAGCAATCTAGTAGGCTTGTATAGGTGGAAAAATTATTTTTTTCCTGATTGCCCTAAAAATCCCAAAAAATTCATAGACACTTATTCAGACTCATAAAGAAAGAATTTCATGTCAGACATGATAGATAACTCTCCCTGTAGATTTTCAAAATCAGCGGTTCAAGCAATCTAGTAGGCTCGTATAGGTGGAAAAATTATTTTTTTCCTGATTGCCCTAAAAATCCCAAAAAATTCATAGACACTAATTCAGACTCATAAAGTAAGAATTTCATGTCAGACTTGATAGATAACTCTCCCTGTAGATTTTCAAAATTAGCGGTTCAAGCAATGCAGTAGGCTCATATAGGTGGAAAAATTATTTTTTTCCTGATTGCCCTAAAAATCCCAAAAAATTCATAGACACTTATTCAGACTCATAAAGAAAGAATTTGATGTCAGACTTGATAGATAACTCTCCCTGTAGATTTTCAAAATCAGCGGTTCAAGCAATGCAGTAGGCTCATATAGGTGGAAAAATTATTTTTTTCCTGATTGCCCTAAAAATCCCAAAAAATTCATAGGCACTAATTCGGACCCAAAACGAAAGAATTTGATGTCAGACTTGATAGATAACTCTCCCTGTAGATTTTCAAAATCAGTGGTTCAAGAAATGCAGTAGGCTCGAAAGGTGGAAAAATTATTTTTTCCCTGATTGCCCTAAAAATCCCAAAAAATTCATAGACACTTATTCAGACTCATAAAGAAAGAATTTGATGCCAGACTTGATAGATAGCTCTCCCTGTAGATTTTCAAAATCAGCGGTTCAAGCAATCTAGTAGGCTTGTATAGGTGGAAAAATTATTTTTTTCCTGATTGCCCTAAAAATCCCAAAAAATTCATAGACACTTATTCAGACTCATAAAGAAAGAATTTGATGTCAGACTTGATAGATAACTCTCCCTGTAGATTTTCAAAATCAGCGGTTCAAGCAATGCAATAGGCTCGTATAGGTGGAAAAATTATTTTTTTCCTGATTGCCCTAAAAATCCCAAAAAATTCATAGACACTTATTCAGACTCATAAAGAAAGAATTTGATGTCAGACTTGATAGATAACTCTCCCTGTAGATTTTCAAAATCAGCGGTTCAAGCAATGCAGTAGGCTCATATAGGTGGAAAAATTATTTTTTTCCTGATTGCCCTAAAAATCCCAAAAAATTCATAGACACTTATTCAGACTCATAAAGAAAGAATTTGATGTCAGACTTGATAGATAACTCTCCCTGTAGATTTTCAAAATCAGCGGTTCAAGCAATGCTGTAGGCTCATATAGGTGGAAAAATTATTTTTTCCTGATTGCCCTAAATATCCCAAAAAATTCATAGACACTTATTCAGACTCATAAAGAAAGAATTTGATGTCAGACTTGATAGATAACTCTCCCTGTAGATTTTCAAAATCAGCGGTTCAAGCAATGCAGTAGGCTCGTATAGGTGGAAAAATTATTTTTTTCCTGATTGCCCTAAAAATCCCAAAAAATTCATAGACACTTATTCAGACTCATAAAGAAAGAATTTGATGTCAGACTTGATAGATAACTCTCCCTGTAGATTTTCAAAATCAGCGGTTCAAGCAATGCAGTAGGCTCATATAGGTGGAAGAAATAATTTTTTCCTGATTGCCCTAAAAATCCCAAAAAATTCATAGGCACTAATTCGGACCCAAAACGAAAGAATTTGATGTCAGACTTGATAGATAACTCTGTTGGATTTCAATAGAAATATCCAAAAAGTGAATTAAAGAAGTGACGCCACTGTTTGGTGTTCATGAATATGAATTCTGTTTTGGTTCCGTATGCTAAACTGTCGGATGCTCACTCTTCAGATATCTATCAATAAAGCAAGTAGTTCAAACCGTCTGACGTTGTTTTCATTAAGTACCTACCAAAATGTCCCAATAACAATAATAGGTTATGGTGCCCAGGTACACTCAAATTAAGTTGAAATCATGGCAGTGTTATACTAGTGCGAAAACTATAAACATACCTATTACTATAGAGGTATTATAGAGATAAATCAACCGTTCGGTAGTGTAAAGAAAGAACACCGTTTCGAGTGGAATGTTCAGTGAAATCATTAGTAACTGATCCCAAGGTGCTCCATATTATAAACAATAATATTCCGCATGATATTACCGATAAGTAGCAAACATTGATGAGACAATACCATGGTGAAATAAAATGAAATTCAATTTCCAAGGAATCTGGACGCAACTCATGAACGACTCATTCAAGCAACACAACTATATTTTGACTCCAAATCAGCAGCTCTTGACTTGGATGTTACGAAGTGAAGTTACACTTTGATTGCTGATCTGCTACCAGAAGGAGCTTTCCCCTATAATATACAATGTTTAACGAAGAGATCGCCGCTCACTACAAGGTTGCCATTGCATTGAAATTATATTGATACCTATTTGATATTAGCATTTGTCGGCCTAACGACTTTTACACCACATAGTGCAAAAAGGTAAACTAATTTGGTGTTACCGAAGAAAGTTTGTGTTAAGTCTCAATAAGCAAATTCCCAGATGTGATATGTGGTCATTGTAAATGGAATATTCATGACAAGCCGAATGGGTATTATCACAAAGGGATACAAGACGGATTGAAGCCACAAATATATACACCAACTCATACAACAGGAGTAAACACTGAAGTATATACTGATGGTTTGAATATTATAACAAGAAAAATATAACCAACTAAATGGAGTCATTAGGAAACAGATGAACAAAATAAATGAACAAAACTAAGAATCAAGCACTGCCACCTTGGTGGAACATTGCCAAACCTTGAAATATCAGAAATACAGTGCAGTAAGCTTCTGATGCTGCCATGTTCCACTGTCGCGTCAGTTGGACGTATGCAAAACAATAAGGGTATGGTATGGTATGAAAATTTAAAATGGTAAAATGAGCCATTCTATGAGGTAAGCTTTCAACCTTATGTCTCAAAATGGTAATTACGAAACCATTTTATACACGTAGACCTTTGACTTACTCAAAAGGAATTTATTTGACAAAAAACAGTAATAAATAAACCATTCTATAATGTTAGCATCGAACAAACTCAAAAAATGTTATTATACAATCTATTCTTACAAGCTTTGAATGGTTTATTTAATGTGACATTGAGAAAGGTACAAAACATGATGGTTAATGGAAGTCGAAGTAAATTGTACTAATCAATTAAACTAATAATTACAAAGAATGCCTCAAACAGGTTCAAGCACACGATCAGGTTTAATTGAATAAAATTCAAAAACTATACTGAGCTGTTAGTGATCTTGAGGACTTCGTGATAATTTTTTTTTGAACCTTGTATATATGAAGCAAGTGGGACTTCCAAAGAATAAAAAGAAAATCATGTAAAATGACCTTTCTCTATAGCTCACACAATACCTATATACTGTATATATATAAAACAATACTCTCATACTCAGTACACGATTACTTATTGTGTAGGTAGAGTCAGGTACAGGGAATGACATGTCGCGTTTGGATGGTATGTTGGCGCTCTTATTACAGAAGTGACTAGGTGTGCTGTCGCTGCCCATGTGCGACAGTTTATGTGTATCTGACTGTACATCTACATGTTAGTTAAATCAAATCAGAAGTATTGAGTTTGAGTGAGAAAGTAAAACAGATATTAATTTATTGAAACTTGTCAATTTGACTATGGTCATATAAATACCAGTCGAGCGAATTTTGTTGTTCAGAAAAGAGAATAATTAACAATCATTGAATGCAGTACCCTATTAACCGCAACAAAACGGAGTAAAACGGACTAAGACTGAAAAAGCTCGTGCAATAAAAAACGTAGCGAATTTCAGAAAAACAGTTATGAGG